TTGTGCAATATTATGAGCTCCGTTAGCGCTCAGAGTCCAATACGTTTCGTGAATGACTCTTAGATACATGGAATCTTAGCTTAATGTTTGTAAAGGAACTATGTTATAGTTAATTTTTGTTTGCTAAGGTGCCATCTTGAATTGTGTTCACTCCAAAAGATAATCAGTCTTAAACTACTTTCCATATTTTAAGTGATTTTTTGATTAAAAAAATAAAAAACTTTTGTGTTTCATGAGATATTTTGCTAACAGACAAATTTTACTATGACAGGTAATGTCAAAGTTTTAGGCTAAGATGTGCAATATGAAGTGATCTGGGTTATTGTTGTGGATGAAGTTCAACAACTTTCCAAAAATTAGCTGAATATTTGAAAACTTGACTGAGTTATCGCCATTTCTGTGTTAGAGAAGGTCGGTTGGCTGTGGTGGCCATCTTAAATTGAGTTGTTTCCCCAAATGTATTCAGTTCTAGATGTATATTCATGGATTTCTTTCTGAGAGTTTCATTAAAATTCAACCAGTGGTCCATGATATAATTTGCCAACTGACAACAAATGAACCTACACATGTATGGGCACACAACCACACAGACATAAGGAATTTTAACTGTTTTTTTAAAATTCACAATAGTTAATATTAAATAATTTGAAATATTATGGTTTTATGGTATTTTGATTATTTTTGAATCATTTTTATTGTTGCAAACATTGTTTTGTTTGCTTTTAATCATGTAAACGGAGTCTGAGGGAAAACCATGATCAGCACCTTTTGTCTTTAGTAGGACGATGATAAAAACCACCCATTGATGAGGCCGCCAACACTAAATATTCCAAACTTTTGACTTTTAAAGAGATTTACAACATCGCTTGTAACTTTTGCACAGAGCCCCACTTCAAGATGTGTGAACTATCCCTTTAAGCCTCCTCTCTGTTTCACCTTCATTTAAACTCATTATGAATAAATCGGGCATGTCATGAATATACCTGTAGATGTTCCATGCAGTTTACGTTTCACAGTTTCTTGTGTTAGACGAGCAGAGAAGTCGTCAGTCACTGCTTCATGCCACCAAGGATATGCTCACCTGTTTGGGTACATATTATGGGATGTTTAATTGTGTTGACACAGTTTGGGCCAGGGTATGCATTGGTTTTTACAAAAAACAAATGTTTTTTTTTGTTGTTGTTTTTTTTAATGAACACTTTCTGTCTGTTGTTTTTGCCTTATTTTTAAAAAACACTATTTATTTCTGATATTATTTTTAAGTTGTTGTTTTTTTCTTGCTGCGATGTTTCACTGCGTTAGAATCAGAATATGCAAACATTTCATGTAAATTTATCATCCAAAGCTTTTGAAAGTAAATGTATGAAAAACAAAATCTATATAATGTCATTCCTGTTTGACTTGTTAATTAAAAAAAAAAAACCAACAACATAGGAAATGTGATGCGTGTCTTTTTTCTACGTTTATATTTGGGTGCAACTCGTGGATTAAAAAAGTCTGCACTGAAGGGTTTCTGTCTCATCTGTTTTCTCTTCCTTGTGTTCAGCTCCTGTCTCACCTGTCTGTAATCCCAGTCACCCCAGGTGTTTCCCATTCTGTGTCTGTATAAAGTCTGCGTCTTTTTCACTTCCTGTGTCCGGGCATTATCCTTCAATGGTTCATGGTCTGTATCTGCTCTGTCTCCTCCCTGTAAGTAAGTTTTGCTGCTCGGTTAGTGTTTTGTTTTATTTATTTAAGTAATAAACTTAATTTCTTATTTTTACTCTGTCTCCCGTTGTCTTCCTGCACATTGGTTCAACATTAACAGCAGCTCATGTTATGCACAACACTTTTACAACGTCAGGTTTTATGATGTAAAAAATGAGATAATAATACAGGTGCACCTCAGAAATATGCATATTGTGGGAATAGTTAAATGTTATCATTTGTTTTTCATTCATTCAACCTTTATTTATACAGATTAGCCTCATTGAGCCTCGAGGACTCATTTACAAGCGAGACTGGTTTTAAACAAAGAACAGATGAGGTGCAGACAACAGTAGACATTCATATAAAAAGCATCTAAAATGGAAGAAATTATATTAAAAACTGAACAAAAACCACTACATTATAAAGCGATGTAAAATACTAAAAACAGGAACATGTCTGCGTTGGGTTTTTTTTAAATCGACAATGATTTCAGAAAGATTCATAGATTCGTTGCACATAGAGTGAAAAAATTCAAGCCTTTTATTTCTGGTAATTTTGATGATTATTGCTTAAAAATAAAAACACAAACTTCAATGTCTCAGAAAATTATAAGAGTTTCAGTACTGTAAACTTCTGCTGCACATCCTAATCATTGCCCTGAGACAACTTCTGTTGTGATTTGGTGCTATGTAATATAAATATTTATAACTAAACTAACCAGCTAGCTGCAAATGTCTCATTCCTCAGGTCCATCCACTCCTGAACCAGAGACAACATCAGCAGTGCCTTACCTGCTGAGGACACAAAGAACTGGACTGTTGATCAGAGAATCAGAGTATCTTTATTGTCTCATGAGATCTAAGATATGAACTAAGAAAAACATCAGTTAAAAATAAACTAAGCACTAGTAGCATGTAAACAATACGCCGAACAGCAGCACGGACATGAGTCTGTGTGAGCAGATGAGTACGAATGAACACAGCAACATGAAACAATCAGCAGCAACATGAAACAGATCAGTAGCAACATGAAACAGATCAGCAGCAACATGAAACAATCAGCAGCAACATGAAACAGATCAGTAGCAACATGAAACAGATCAGCAGCAACATGAAACAGATCAGCAGCAACATGAAACAGATCAGCAACATGATGATGTGATTTTTCCTGGTTAGAGATTCATGAGTCTAACAGCCTCAGGGTAGAAGCTGTTCCTCAGTCTAGTCGTTCTACACTTAATGCTCCTCAACCTCCTTCCTGAGGGGAGCGGGGCTAAAAGAGTGTGTGCTGGGTGAGTGAGGTCCTTCATGATGCAGGTGGCCCTCTTCCTGCATCTGGAGGTGTAGATGTCTGTGATGGTGGGGAGACTGACTCTAACAGACTTCTGTGCAGCCTTCACCACTCTCTGCAAAGCTTTTTATTTATTTAATTTTTTGGTATCAGTGGTTCATTGTCCTCTTTTCAGATTAACGTAAATTAAATTATTCATGTCATTTAGAAATCAAGGTCCCAGAGGAAGAGAGGAGAGGTCCAGAATCCACATTGCTTGAAGTCCAGAGTCCTCAGTCAGTGATGGTTTGGGTCCATGTCCTCTGCTGGTGTTGTTCCACTGTGTTCTCTGAAGTCCACAGTCCACGCAGCATCTAGCAGAACATTTTAGAGCAGGGCTATTCAACTGGCAACCCGTGGGCCGGGCTTCAATCCAGCACACTTCATTAAAAAAAAAAGTAATATTATTTTGGAGTGGGTTCTGGGTTTGTGTTCCGTTTATTGCATTTATGATTCATTGTAAACTTTGATTTATTTACATAATGACTTTAATCGCTGGATGTCCGGCCCCTGAGCTATTGGCTTTCAGAAACTGTGGCCCCCTGAGCAGTGTCTTTGAATAGACCTGTTTTAGAGCTCTTCATGCTTCCTTTTGCTGACGAGCTTTATGGAGATGCTGAGTTCATTTTCCAGCAGGACTTGGCTCCTGTGGTGACCTTATTGCTGAGAGGCAACAGCTCTACCAGCTGTGCCACCATGCGGCCCCCTAAAGATATCATTTTGTTAAATACATTTGATCCCACGTTCGCAGACTGATGAAGACAAAGTCAGGCGCACAAAAAGGTAAGTGATTTATTTGCAAGTGCAGGAAAATGTTCAAGGTAAGGGTAGTTTTCTGAGTTCTTGAAGAATGGAATTTGTTTGTAGGTACTTTCTTCCTTATGGTTGTTTCACAGGTCGTGTTGGAGCGGAGGGAGAAAACGAGGTCCTAGATTTCCAAAGGGAGATGAAATGTGTTCCAGAAGAGGTGAGCATCATTGGAGAGAGGGACAGGTTGAAAGTGCTCGGTAGTTTTTGCTCCAGGTTGATGTTTGGCGATTGCAGGAACAAGATGATGACAGGGCGAGGAGGTCATAAGGTATCATAATGTTCCAGTGTTGGATGAATGTCTGGAAGGAGTTTAAATACTCAGCAGAGCATCCTTCCATATCAGGTGCAGGTGTGGAGTGGTGGATGATAGTGATGATTAGCAGCTGTGAAGGAAGTGATTCTGGCAGGAAACATAGGAATCCCACAAAAGAGGGCTGTGCACAAAAGACTGACTAACAATCTGACAAATTTGGAGCAGTTTTACTAATTAAAGGGGACAAATATTAAGTCAAGGTGTGGCTTGCTGTTAAACCACATCTCAAGAAGACTGAAGGCTGTCATTACACAAAAAGAGGTTCAAAACATTAAGTGTGCGCCATTAACCAGCCACTGCGTCTTTTTAATTTTTGTGTTTTTTATTACTGTTGCAGGATAAATGAACATACAGGAAAGGTGTAGAAAAGTCTTGAAATGATTTACAGCTGGCATTTTGTCAGAGCAGCGTGGGACTTTATGTAAGATGCGTTATTGTGCTTATAAGTGGAGCTTAGATTGTTCTGTATGTTCAATAAGGTAAAATAAATAAATAAATAATAATAACATGACATGCGGTGTCCGGACAGTCTCCACTTCGCTGTTACCGGAAGAGGGCGCCCCCTGGCGGAGAACCCTTCTCACACCAAACTGAAGAGCCGATAAATCAACCTGCGCAACCACATCGACAAAAAGCCTTAAAGCCGCCGGTCTCATTAGCGTCTGTGCGTGGAACACCACAGGAGGTGAAAACAATTACAATGAACGGTAAACATTATATGAACCCGCTGCTTCTCCCGGTGCTTCAGTTGTTTCTTATGGTCACGTTGCTCTTCCTCAAATCTCTTCCTCAAATCTCGCGATATAAAGAACCGAACGGGACTTCTTGGTTGCTATGACAACGGCCATACGCTTCACTTTCTCCGAGGAGGAGCTAGGTTTCAGGTAATGAACTGTTTTCGTTCACTTATAAACGTATCATAGCTTCACTCTGATCCTGAACTACGTGGTACTCTACCTTTAACTAATAAGATGTACATTCTGTGTTTTTAATTTATAAAGTTTGTGGCTGCTTTAACATTTGAAGTTCCCCAGCTGGGGTCGAGCAGTTTCTTTTTTTCTTGTCTTAACTTTAGCTAGTTTTAGCTAAGTTTACAACTTGAATGAATATGAATTCAACAGGTTTCTGTTCTCGGGGACACTGAAGGAAGAGTGTGATGGCTGATAAAGTCAAAGAGAAGAAGGTCACCAGGCTGCCTGCTGATGGAGGCAGAAGAAAGATGAAGCAATCTGGGTGAATGGCTCAGTGTTCATGTTGAATTTCTGCCACTGATCTTTGAGCATCTTCCAAAGACTGTTTTGGTAATAAGTTGGTTCTTCTTCCTTTGTTGTTCTGCTCTGAAAGGACTGAACCAGGGCGGACTGAAGCCCCCTCTAAGAAAACTACAAAGATGGAGAACGTTGACTTGCTGGGTAAGCTAATGTGGAACTTTTGCTCAGTAATATGTATGCCTTTTCCTGGTAATCAGAATCCTGCTCTGTCTTCCTTTGTCAGCTAAAATTGTGATGTATTGATGTTTTGGTGTTATAGTTTATTATTTTTATTTTTTTTACCCACTCCAAACACTTTCTGGCTTAGATTTGTTTGAGCTAAAAGGTCATTTGATGACATGATCATTTTTTAAAGAGCGAGGCCTGGCACTGGAGACGGTTGTTGATTCGGAGTTGTTCTGCCTCTGCTTCAGTCAAGTTGTTGCTCCTAACAGACGACTCAGCGGCAGTGATTTGTTCCACAGCGGGTGTTTTCTGTGGAGAAATGGCTAAATTTAATCTTTTAGCCATCATCTAGCTGTGTCGGTGTCTCGTCCGACAGGTTTTTAACCCACTTGTTCTGAATATTTGTGCTGGTGCCAACAACGGCTTCTGGCAGTTCTGATCAATTCTGTGTGAGAGCTTCAATGGTGAAGTGGATCTGTCTTGTATTGTCAACAAGCAGCTTGTTTTGAGCTTTTAGAAGCATCTCTTCTGCCTTAAGTTGTCTTATGCTGTTGGGATCAACGCTTGTAGTCTGCATCTCAAACTTAGTTTCCATGACTGAAAAAACACAGTTGACTGAAGACATTTTAAACACGTTCTGGTTTAGATTTGTTCGAGCTAAAAGGTCATTTGATGACATGATCACTTTATTGTTGATGTTATAAAACCGCACAGTTTTGTAGCGTGAATTAATGTAATCTTAAGAAATTGTTAAAAACTTAAACACCAAGCAAGATTTAAGTACCGGTACATCTTTATTGTCAGGGACACTAAAGGAGGACGAAGATGCGACAGACGATCTGCTCCAAGAAAAGCTTCAAATCAAAGAGAAGGTTGGCAAGCTGCCCGCTGATGAACCTCTGGGACCCAGAGTCAAAGAAACAACTGGCAAGATGAAGGAGTGAGTGGCAATCAGTTGATCTATGTGACCGTCAACTTGCATCATGGTATAAACATTGAGAAGCTTCTAAAAATAGCTTTTGGTTTCTTTATTAATCTTTTTAAATAATCTCTTAAAATGACAATTTGTTTTTTGTTTCTGCTCATTTCTCTTGGACGTTTTATCATGACATGCATTTCTTCACAGAATGCTTATTTAATTCTTGTCGTTCAGTCCTGAAGGTACTACGCTGTTCTCTGATGAATACAATGAAGACGTGTGCATCAGAATCGTAACAGAGAACACCTACCAGCTGGGTAAGAACACTTTCATCATCACCCACAGTCAGGAAAGGCAGGTGATCGTGTTGAACGTGTGTCACTGTTAACAAAACATCTCGTATAACCCTGAACAGACTCTGATTAAACTTTCAGGAAGTGATCACTGGATGTACATTCACAACTGGTTAAGTTTTGAAGGCAACACAAGTCAAAATAACTAGTAACACTAATCAATTATAGCGAGAACACAACTCAGTCATTTGACAAATATTGTCCTCCAGCTGGATGTGCTCGTAGCTGAGAGAGATCTCCAACTCATACTCTGAGCGTGACTTCTCAAGGAATCACCTGAAACTGTTCATAACGTTGTGTTCAGAGTTTGACCGTAACGCCTACAACTTAATCCCTTCTCAACATAAGATGATGTGAAACTCTGACGTGCGAGGCAGAGGGCAGCACCCTGACTGACCTCCAGCTTTACAGATTCAACATAGAGGACATTTAAAATCAATGCTTCATAAACCTCATGCTTAATGTTGCCATTAAAGACATGAGCATGCATTTACTGTTAATATTTTAAGTTTATACATTGGGAGTGGTGGCACAGAGGTTAGAGACAATGGGCCTGTGATCGGAAGGTCGCCGGTTCAACTCTCTGGACCGACAACGTCAAAACGTGGGTGGTAAAGGTGAAGCACCCACACCTGCTTCTACTTTAATTTGCTCCACTTTGGGTCCTTGAGCAAAGCCCTTAACCCCCACCATCTGCTCCCCCAGGCGCCCTAGCAGCTCCCTGCTCCACACAGAGGGCTGTGGTAGCTCAGTGGTCTGTGGTTGTCAGGAGGGGCATCCAGCGTCAAAACAATTGTCAAGTGTTTGTGCAACTTAGTTCGCTGTGGAGACTTCGGAAGTAAATGGACTGTACTTATATAGCACCATTCTATCTTATGAAGACACTCAAAGCTCTTTACAACAATCTGTGTCCTCATTTACCCGTTCATACAGCACTCTACTAGATCTCTACAAAGCTAATTGAACAAATCATTCTAAAGAGACTAATCAGAGCTTTATCACATTCATACACTGATGGGACACATCAGAGGCATGTGACTGCTGGTGGATTTGAACCCCCAACTTTTGCATTGGAGGACGACTGCTCTAACCACTCAGCCACAGCTGCCCCGGAAGGAAGGAGCAATCGAAATTTAAAAAAAAGTTTATACGTTGACCTCACTAAAAATTACAATAATTAGTTTGACAAAAGTTCAGCCTGACTCTACAAAAATGTCCATCACTGACTTTGTTGCAGCAATAACCAGTTTATTGATCAACATTTCTCTTTTTGCATCGCTGTTGAATGTCGAATGTCGAATGTTGTTTTCATTCTCATATCCAGAACATCAGAGACAAGTTTGATTCCTTTTGACATTAAGGTGTTTTACTTTTTGGACCACAGGACCTACTAAACGCTTCCCTGTCATCGACGCCACCAACATACTAAGGGAAGTACTGAGCAGTTCCCTGAAAGGGGAGAAATATGAAGTACAGCAGGCGCAAGAATTGTCCCTGGCTCTATCTGTGGTAAGTACAAGTGAATACAGCTATCTTTAAACACAAACTAATCTTTGGTTCATTGACATGTCATTTTGTTATCTCTCCAAGGCGATACGAGAACGTGTGAAGGCACTTAAGATCCCCAGATATAAAATAGTTGTCCTGGTAACGATTGGCCAGCTCAGCAGTCAGAGTATACAAAGCTGCAGCCGCTGCCTGTGGGACTCAACGAACGACACCTTCGCCTCTTACTCCTTCAAGAACAGCTCTCTGTTCGGGGTTGCATCCGTCTACGCTGTTTATTTTGAGTGATTCATGGACACGAACGCACCGATGAAAATAAATCAAACATGGCTTATTGTTTTTGGTTTTGTTAGTTATACATTAATTAAACAAGAATTTTGAAAAAAAACATTTGATGCTTATTATTTTTGCTAAAGAGATCTCAGTATCTTGTGACAGCAGGAGGATTGAACCCAGAATGGAGACTTACAGGAGGAGCTTAGAAAACAAAAGTTATTTATTTACAAAAACAATAAAAAAAAACTGATGATGTGGCAATATTTATAACTGAAGAATAAATCACTGGGAGTATCAGGAAAAGGAATCACCAAGTGGAGAATAATCAGAGAACACTGAACTTGTTGCATTGAAGCCAACTGGTGAGAGAGACATGGACTGAACATTCTGTATAGGACAGAGGTGATCACAAAGGTGGAGGCACCTGCGAAGATAGCTGACTGAGAACAGGTGAGCGTGGCAGGCTGACCGAGGAGGAGTGAGAGAAAGAACATGGAAAAACAGATCTGGTGAGAAAAGAAGTAACAGAACCCAACAAAATAATCCAAAGATACAGAAAACAAAACACAAGGAAAAGAAACTTCAAAGAACTAACAAGTTACTAAAAAATACACATCTGAAACATCTAAAATGATTGTGTCAGATTGCTGATTGCTCCTGATAGCAGAGCATGACGAGCAGGGCTTAATTTGTAAACCGGTGGATGCCGGAACGCAAATAGTTGGCGGAACAGTGGCGAGGATGGGGGGCATCTGGGGGTCCTCCCCCTGAAAACTGTGAATGAAATAGATACAATTTCCTGCATTTTGGTGTATTTCAACAGGTTGCTACACATCTACATATTTTCATTTTTTCATTTAGCCTTTATTTATCCAGGTTAGTCTCATTGAGCCACGATAACTCATTTTCAAGAGAGACCTGTTTAGGGAGCACATGGTGGGGGTTAAGGGCCTTGCTCATGGGCCCAGAGTGGGGCGAATGAGGGTGGGGGCAAGTGTGGGTGTTTCACCTACCCCACGCACAATTTTTGATGTTGTCGGGGCCGGGGCGTGAACCGGCGATCTTCGGATCACAAGCCCACCTCTCTAACCTCTGCGCCACCACTCCCCAAGTATACCTACATTTGTAAACACTCTGCTTCTGTCAAGCTTCAACAGCTCTGTGTTATGTTTAAAATTAGTGTTTATGTAATTATTTTCAGTTTACTTATAAGTTTTATTCGTTCAAGGCAGTCATATTTGTCTATAACTTTATTATTAACTTCGCTGTACCCTGGGCAACAATCTTCAAGGGCCCCATCATCACGACCCCAGAATCACCATAATCTGGCAAAATACAAAGTAAATTACAATAACACGCAGTAAATAGCCTATACTTACAATTCCAACTATCATGTGTATTTTTATGTATAAAAATCCAAATGCTCATAGAACTATAAATACTACTATGTTCTCTTGTTTACGCGAATCATCAAGACTGAGTTAAGCTGAACGCACTTTGAACACCGTATGACACCAAGTTTACTTGTTTAGCAACGTGTTGGCCATTGGCGTCAGAAGCATTTGTAATGTGTGTGTGTGGGGGACACACTGATGGGGTGGGGGGAGTCTGGGGGTCCATGTCAAGTCATCACTGTGCGAGAGGCAGGGGACACAAGTCTCCAGTCCATAACAGGGACACATAGAGACAAATGAGACAAACAACCATTCACTCTCTCACTCACACCTAGGGACAATTTAGAGTTACCAATCAGACTAACATGCATGTTTTTGTACTGTGGGAGGAAGCTGGAGTACCCGGAGAAAACCCACGCATGCACGGAGAGAACATGCAAACTCCACCCAGAAACGTCCCTGAACCGGGATTTGAACCAGGGCAACCTTCTCACTGAGAGGCAGCAGCTCTACCAACTGAGCCACTGTTCCCCCTGTCTTGTGTTATCTGTGTTTACTGGGCAGATGACAAACTGTTTGTTTAGGAACTGTGTGGGAATCTGGGCTATTAAGGAGATGATTGATAAACAGAAGTGATCTTTTATGTCTGAACTGCAGTTTTTTTTTTAAACAAGATCTTTTAATTGATTTTTGCATTTTTTAATGACAGAAGAAATTTACAGAAGTAACTTGTTTTTTGCCCTGGATTTAGCCAAACTTTACTTGATGGTTTGTTGGAGATCTCCAGTCAACATTTTGGCTGGATGAACAGAAATAATAATAAGAAGTGTTTGCTTTCTACATAGAACAAAGTGACGTGTGTGATTAATAGACTTAAACTGGAGCTTGAAAGTTTGTGAAGCCTTTAGGATTTTCTATATTTCTGCATCAATATGATCTAAAACATAATTAGATTTTCACACAAGTCCTAAGATAAAGTGAACCCAGTTAAACAAATGAGAAAAAACTATATTATACTTGGTCATTTATTTATGGAGGAAAATGATCCTGTCACAATTTTTCGGATTATTGATGACGTTTTTAAAATATACAAGTCCCACTACAGGTAAATTATAATTTCATACCTCACTGTCGGTTCTGTAGATACAAGTGGTCCAGCTTTGGAGGAATTATATGGAAACTGCTCCCTGTTCGTTAAAGTTAAAAACAATCTGAGACATATCGATTTTGCTGAGCTTATTTAGATATATTAATAACACATAAGTGTACCAAAAGTCATAACTATGTTTGTATATAAACTTTTTAAAAATTATATATTTATAGTTTATCTAATGTGTCCTAAACTGCTTTGATTTAATTCAATTCAATTTAACTTTTATTTTTATAGGTTAGTCTCACTGAGCCTCGAGGACTCATTGACAAGAAAGACCCTGTTTTAAACAAAGAGTGATGACAACAGAAGACAATCTTAAAAGAAGACATATAAAAATAAATCCAAGAAAATGATGGTTAAAAAAGAAAAACAAACAAAAACATCTACAGGACATTATTGATTGATTGATTGATTGATTGATTGATTTTTATTGTCAATTCTGCATATGTACAGGACATACATAGAAATTGAAATTGCGTTACACTCCTACTCAAATTGCAGCAAACAACAACATTAGCAAAAATAAACTAACACAACTAGTTATATAAAAAAATATAAAAATATATAAAAGTGATGTGAAATACTAAAAACAGGAACACGTCTGCATCAAATTCTGTGTTTGTGTGCATTTTTACTTGATTGAATGATTTTTTTTTTTTTTTTAACTAGTTAAAATTTTTAGGTGATATTTTTGACCCCCTAGCCAACCTGTATGTTAATTAATTAATTAATTAATTTATTTATTATTAGTTCGTGTATTTATTTATTTATTTAGCTTAAAGAAATTACCACTACAGTACTGTACAACGGAACGAAACATAGAGATACAGTATACATAAATAAATGAACAGAATTATACATATATATATAAAATACTAAAATATTATTACTACGGTAGGCGGGGCTTCACATCCGGGTACTGCCGCTGACCCTTCACGTGACTTTGCAGGAGCGCAAACATGGCGGAGGTGAGAAAGTGAAATAAATATTTTGGGGGAAAAAAATGTCTCTTTATGGTCCAGAGCAGTGAGTTCAGTTGATTATGCTCATGGTTCGTGTGCTGTGGTGGTTTTAGACGAAATGAAGCGGCAGCTCTTGGCTCTGACAGATTAAAGATTCATTTGTTTGTGTCAGTAATGTTTAGTAAAGTTCGGATTAGCTTCGTTAGCTCCCCGACGGAAGGTAGCTGCGATGGTTAAGCTAATTCTAAAATATGAACATACTCTTCTGAGCCTGGATATGAGTTTATTCAGACATGTAGTGGAAGTTTCACGGATTTATCTATCAGTGGTTCCGTGCTGATTTTAATTTGCTGGTCGCTGATGCAAAGGTTAAACTCTAAATTAAAGAAAGAGAATAAACAAGCTGCTCTCGGCTTGTGCTTGAAGTTGGTGAGTTTAGAAAGTGTCGCCAACAAACTGGGGGAGAACGAGGTGTCGTGTTTTCCTCCCACAGCAGTGCTGGTCTTTGTCTGAGCTGCAGCTCCACATCAGGCGCGCTTTTAGTTTGGACTCCATTTATCTGACAACATGATGAGACTGTCAGCATGTACAGCAGAGATGTTTCCTTTTTGTGTAATATTATTCCCATCTGAATGTCTTGTCCAACTTTGTTTATGTTGTTTTCTTTTTTCAGCCCTCCCTCGGGAATCCGAGCCCAGGTAGTTTATTTTCCTATTTATTTGATATTTATAAAGAGATGCCTAATTATGCACTTATATTTATGTGAATGGTAATTAGTTGATGATTTTTATCATCTTGAGTTTCCTGTAATTCCCTCTGATTTGCATTTCTTTTATTAATAATCTGTAAAACATGAAATTCGACAACAGTATTTGTTGGTGAATTTGAACGTATTTTAATCCTAATTGTGTTTGAATCACTCATGTTCTGTTTCCCCCCCATCTTGCAACTTATTAGGAGGTTCTGCAGGTTCTGACGACCATGACTTCGATCTGTCAGTCGACATGCTAGTTCATGATTTTGATGATGAGCGCACCCTGGAGGAAGAGGAAATGCTGGAGGCGGCTGATGAGGCCAATGCCAATGAGATTGAAGATCTCGCACGGGTTTGTGTGCAACCTTTTCTCTCATATTTAGTTTAATCCACCATGTCTCATGACGAAACAGGAACGAGTGAGTACGGTACTTTCGCAGTATTGGCAGCCAGTTTGAATTCTGAGTCTGTTTTAGTCTTTAGATTTAAAGAAAAGGTGAATGTATGCAAACATTTGAACAACTGGGGAATGGCAAGGGAAATAACCGTTTTGTATTTCATTGAGTGTTTTTGATGAAAAATTTCCCATTTCATTATTTTTATTGAACAGAAAAATAACTGAACTTGACTGTTCTCAAAAGTTGGACTCATTTTTTTTCACGATGGAGAAAACAAAGAATATCCTGATGCTGCTCAATAATCCAGGTAGATAAATCTAACAAGGTTGAGTGAGGTCCTCTGCACGGATTCTTCTTTGTTTCGTTTTTCATCCAAAAGACTTCAGTCTGAGGAGCTGCAACAAACTCAGTTTTATAAATAGCACCCTTCTCAGTGGATCAACCAGTTTGCTGGTGACATCCAGAACTATTTCACATGCTCAAGAAGGACCATCAGCCTAACAGTGGGTCATTAGCACCCTGATGGCTGTTTACTATTCACAGGGGGTTGAGTGATACTAGCAATCACAGCATTGTAAGAGGGGAACAGATGAACACGGAGGCCTCCACCCCTGTTTAATGATGGACAATTTCTCTTCACAAAGATGGCCTCCTTTATTCCTCTTTCAAACCATTGTTCCTCTCTATAGCTATGTTTACATGAGCAACATTTTTTGACCGGATTGAAATGTTGTCAGATTAAATAATTCAAATGTATCATTTACATGGGCACAATCTGTTCATGATGAGTGTTTACATGCAATGGGCTTTGTTCTGAACAGAAGTACTGACATGTGCAGAGTGGTAAACTCTCCTTAAAAAAAAACAGAAGAAGAAGTTCTACTTCCGGGATGAACATAAAAAAACGTGAGCGCCCATAATGGACCCGCGACAGGTTTTAATGATGGTGGAGACGTTACTGCACTCCCTGACTGAGCTACAGGTAATACAGATCATTTTGAGCTCTTTAAAAGTTTCTAGTAGAAATGTTGTGTCGCTCACCGACCAGTTTTGCTTCCCTGACATGCTAATATTATTAGCATTAGTCAAGCAGAAATGACATAGTCGCACATGCGCAGTCAGGTCAGTTTTTCACGTTCAGAAAAAAATGAACCGATCAAGCGTTTACATGTGCACCGTTTGGGTTATGAATCGGTGTAAAGCACCCGTTTTTGTTCTGATCACAAATTATTTCAGATCACGCTGAATAAACAAAAACTAACCTGAACGGGGCGTTTACATGACGCGTTTTTATTCCGAACGGCCGTTTGATCCGACTACTTATGTCCATGTAACATGACTTACCAAGGATGTGAACATCTTCATCCTTGAAAGAGTGACCGCTGGCCTGGAGATGAGTGTAGACTGCAGAGTCCTGGCCTGATGATGTTGATCTTTTGTGCTGGGCCATCCTTTTGGCCAGTGGCTGTTTAGTTTCCCTGATGTAAAACTGATCACAGCCCTCCTGACACTGAACAGCATACACAACATTACTCTGTTTGTGCCGGGGGACTGGATCTTTGGGATGAACCAGTCTTTGCCGTAATGTATTTTGGGGTTTAAAAGCCACTGGGACGTTATGTTTAGAAAATAAGCGTCTCGGTTTCTCTGATACTCCCTCAACATACGGAATGACCACTGGTCTGGGTCTGGGTTCCTCCTTTTCACCTGATGGCTGACTGGAGTCCTGTTTGGGTTTCTTCTCTGCTTTCAGGAAGGCCCAGTTAGGATATCCACATTGCTCTAGAGCCTGTCCTGTGTAGGATTTCTCCTTCTGCCTGGCTCCTGAGCTAGTGGCGACGCTGTCTGCTCTGTGATACAGAGTCCTGATGACTCCTAACTTGTGCTCCAAAGGGTGATGGGAGTCAAACTGCAAATACTGGTCTGTGTGGGTGGGTTTGCGGTACACCTCAGTTTGCAAATGTCCTCTATCAGAGACTGAGACCTCACAGTCCAAGAAAGCCAACCTGCCATTTTTTACATCTTCTCATGTGCAGGGCCAGTGCTCCGTGTTTTTTTTTTAGAACTTTTTATTAACAACATATAAACACAGAACACCGCTGGGGCTGGGGCTGCCAGCTCTCGTTTTGTTCTTTTTGCAACCTGTCAAATAATCCAGTAGGCGTGTCAGCAAATGACCAATCGACGACATCAATTTGTCTCGAAGGTAAACACCCCTTGTCTGTGGAGCTGACTGCGTCCGCTCAGGGTGGACGCTCGAGTATGAAGTCTGAACCCTCTGCGGGCGGCGTGCACAGTTTCTGCGCGGCTAACAGGACGCGCGAGTATACTGGAGCCTTTAGGAAATGAAGCAAGTGTGTCCATTAGTCTGCTCTCTGGGTCAACAATCAAATCAATGCAGAAGATGGAGTTCGTCACACCAGGATAAAATATAGTTTTACTGTAGAGACAAGTGACGCTCTGCCTTCTCCATAACAGGAGGCGATTTTGCCTCCTACTCTGACGATGTGTCCCCTTTGGGGCGAATTGAAGCGCAGGTACGTGGGTCAAATGATCGATTTCAGTCTCTAGCAGGAAAGACACAGCATCTCAGTGACTCCCTTTAAATTTATGTAAAAACTACAGATTTTAAACTGTTTTTAACTTGTGTTGATGATAGGCCATGTAAAATCAGTGTTATGATAAATAATCCACGCCACATGGACATGTAGGAGGAGAGGTTTTAAAAAATATATATACAAGTATTAAAATTAAAATAATTAAAATTAGATATGTTTTTATTTGAGGCTGACCACTTAAATAAAATGGTTGATTTTCCCTCTGAGGAACATGAATAAATAAATAAAATTAAAGGGTTAAAACCGTTTTATTCAAATAAGATTATAACGTCTGTAGTTAGAGAAAACTGATTTTGATCTGCATGCATTCAGCTGGGAGCTGCAAGATAAAGAAAAAAGATCATTTTGAAATAATTCTTTATTAGATTACTGCAGTATAAATTGTATGTTATCTTCATAATTATTTTCATGCATGTGATGCTGGTAAGCATAGGCATCACATCAATTATGTGAAGGAGACATGTCACATTAAAAAATATTTGTTTGGATCCCTCCCACACACACACACACATTTACAATGAAATATTAGTTCACCCAGCACTGTTCGCATTTCTTTGTGAACAAATCATTCCACTTGATTAATAGAAGAATAGTCAAAGCACTAAATGTCCACTCTGGGTTTTCAACAACCCTCCACACTGCATGCAGTGTTTCACCAGGTTACTTGTCTTGGCAGAGGACACTCATCTCTTAGAATAATTTTGTGGACAGGGTGGGGGGAGGAGTGGGAGACGCCTCTGTGCGGCACGCTATCTTAGCGCTACGTTAGTGCCGGCAGTTGTCGACCTGGGTGGGGGTGTTCATGTAAATAATGTCACTGTAGTCAATGGAGGGAAGGAAAGTCACAGATACAAGGTGTTTTCTAGCATTCAGAGTTAGACAGGATCTGTTTCTGAAAAAGAAACCCAGTTTAACTTTCAGTTTCTTTACTAGATTTTCCACATGGAACTTAAAAAAAGAGATGTGAGTCGACCAAGATACCCAAATATTTATAGGAATCAACAAACTCAATGGGGACACCATTTGACGATAAAATTGGAGGAAGAACTGCTGGGACCAACTTCCTGTTTGAAAAAAGCATCCCTTTTGATTTTCTCGGCATTTAAAACGAGTTTGAGGCGAAACAAATCAGTCTGGATGATGTCAAATGCAGATTGCAAAAGCTGGAAAGCCTTAGCAACAGTTTTAGCTCGACAATAAACAACTGTGTCATCAGCATAGAAATGTAAGGATGCGTCAAGGATGCTCTGACCTGCATTACCTATGTAGATTGTAAAAAGGGTGGGTCCTAAGACTGAGCCTTGTGGTACACCATTGTTGACTGTTAAGTAACTGGAGGAAGTACCATTAAGTAGAACACATTGCCTCCAATCTGAAAGATAGTTAGAGAACCAACCAATGGTGTGATCTGAGAAACCGATTTCTGAGAGTTTATGACACAAGATGTTATGATCCACAGTGTCAAAAGCTTTAGACAGGTCTAAGAAAAGTGCAGCACAATAATCCTTAGCATCCAGTGCTTCAACAACGTCATTAAGAACCTTCAGTGAGGCAGTGGTTGTGCTGGGTTGTTTCCTGAAACCAGATTGATGGAGAGGTAAGATGTTAAATGAGTCCAGGTAATTTTTGATTTGAGAGTTTATCAGTTTTTCTAGAACCTTGGCTAAAATACAGAGTTTAGAGATTGGTCGATAGTTGTTCAGCGAGGTGGGGTCACCTCCCTTCAGCAAAGGAAGAACAAAGGCTGTTTTCCAAGTGTCTGGAATGGAGTTTTGTCTTATGGACAGGTTAAAGATGTGGGTCACAGGGACTGTGATGATATGAGCAGCCAGCCTTAAAAAATAAGGTGGAAGTTCATCTGGACCTGCAGATTTTTTAGGATCAAGATCTTTTAACAGTTTATTGACCTCACTGACTGAGAACGTAGAAAAAGAGAAGCTGTGATTAAATGAGGATTGACTTGTAGGAGGGACTTGATTTGTAGAAGTTTGGTTATTAAGTAAAGTGGCTGATTTTCCATTAGTAACTGTGTCAAATAAAGAACCAGAAGCAACAAAATGTTTGTTGAAACAGTTCAGGATCTCGTGCTTATTTGACACAGGAACAGAGTTAACGTGAAGTTGTGATGGGAGGTCAGATGATTGGGGGGTGCCTGAGAGAGATTTGATGGTTTTCCAGAATCTTTTAGTACTTACGTACTTACTTACTTACACTTAATGCCTCGGTTGTTATGCTGATGGTCCTTCTTTTGCATGTGAACAACTAGTTTCGGCTGTCAGCAGCAAACTGGTTGGTCCATTATGAGAAGGTGCTATTTATTCAAATTATTCCTAGCCCCATGCTGCCTTGTATGAATTACGGGCACAACTTCCGGCGCGGACCAGAACCTGCATTTGTTTATATGCGAACAGTACGAGCTAATGTAGTTTCTTCAAGCATTGTGGATTTAATTTGAACATGTGATGTGGGAACACCACCTGTCAGAGCTCCAATAGGACAACATAATCATACCGCTGCCTAGGTCGACCTGACGAAGTGGCTGCAGATTACTGCAGTGCTTTCCTACCATGGTTAACCAGTTCTTACTGCTACTTACGGTATCTGACAGGAAGTTGTACCATAATCATTTATACAGTAGAGCCCCCAGGAATAAGGTGAATAAGACTGAGTTTGTTGCAGCTCCTCAGACTGAAGAAGTCTTTTGGATAACAGATGAAACATTTCAACAAGAAGAATCCATCCAGAGGACCTGACTCAACCTTGTTAGAAAACAAATAATGTTTGTTTATTTATTATTTTATTTTTTTGCAGGAAGGAGAGATGCCAATCCACGAGCTGCTGAGCCTTTATGGTTATGGGAGCAGATCGCCAGCTGAAGAAGAGGAAGATGAGGAAGATGAAGAACCAGAGGAAGAGGATGAGGAAGAAGAGGATGAGGAAGAAGACCTTGATAATGATGAAAGCAGTAGAAGCACTGGCGAGCTGAAAAGAAACGAGGTACTTTCTTGTTTTCATACCTGCAAACTAGTCGCTTTTTGGCAAACTTTGCCGTTTTCAAACTAAAATGTCATTTACGTGAATCTTCTAGATCCGAAAAGTTTTTTTATTTTGGGGTTGGGGGGGGGTGGGGGTGTTCAGAGGCGTGGTGGATGACATAATTTCCCTTTAAGAAACAGCATTCCTCCTAGGTCACTTAGCTTAGCGGGTGCTCATCTCTTCAGGGAATTTTGTCAGGGCAGAGGGAGGAGGGGGAGACGCCTCCGTGTTGCTTGTTAGCTTACAGCAAGTTGTTGAGCGGGGGGTGGGGAGGTGTTAGGATGTGTGAGAAATGGCGCGTGTAGCATTTAAGCTAGCGCGTCTGTATTGTACACGGCGAGATTATGCCTTACGAGTTGAAAAGTCCAGCTGATGGTGTTACAGAGAACACCTTGAAGAAGAAAGATGGTGTTAAGGAGAAAGAAGCCAAGTAACAAGAGTTGTCTGGAAAGTAAAATAGTTAAAATCAGTGATGTGGAAGGAATAGTGGAAAGGAAAACAATGGGAGAAGGAGACAAATTCCAAGAGGATTGTGAAGGAAAGAGGAATAAATGTTATGAAGTGTAGAAATTGTGGCACCAAGGTAGGAAGGAACCTGTAAATTATACAGTTTTAATAATTACCATAATTCTTAAACTAGAAAACACACCTGCGTATAAGCCGCACATATTAAATATAAGATGAATCATAATCTTGTACGTAAATAAGATGCCCGGGTGTTAAGGGTGTCCACTGTACAGTGAATGAAAGTTCCCAGCTCTATCTGTGCTGTACTTGTAGTACAAGAATCAGCCACTTGATGGGATTCACAGACTGGCTTGCTTTTAACATACACTGAGCTTGAATGGTGATCCCAAGTATACATGAAGCTTCAGTATTTAACTCATGGTAACGACCATTATACCGTCAAAATGAACAAAATACTGGTAAATATCTACCGGCAAGCATAATCACTGGACATTAAAGTGCCGAACACCTACATAACTGAAATCATTTAAAAATTATATACCGGGAAATATTACCCAGAAGTCTTAACGGGGTCATGTGACCGGAAGTGAAATACCGTAGTACAGATAAAATGTGGTAAATAAATATTCATTAAATCACTGGTAGTACCACTGATTTTTATTGTTAAACAGTATTGGTATCAGCTGCTGTTTTTAAATCTACCTTTACTTTCTAAATTCCATCCATCCATCCATTTTCTTCCGCTTACCCGGGGTCGGGTCACGGGGGTAGCAGCCTAAGTAGGGAGGCCCAGACTTCCCTCTCCCCAGCCACTTGGGCCAGCTCTTCCGGGGGAATCCCGAGGCGTTCCCAGGCCAGCCGAGAAATATAGTCCCTCCAGCGTGTCCTGGGTCTTCCTCTGGGCCTCCTTCCGGTGGGACGTGTCCGGAACACCTCACCAGGGAGGCGTCCAGAAGGCATCCTAAACAGATGCCCAAGCCACCTCAACTGGCTCATCTCGACGTGGAGAAGCAGCGGCTCTACTCTGAGTTCCTCCCGGATGATTGAGCTTCTCACCCTGTCTCTAAGGGAGAGCCCAGACACCCTGCAGAGAAAACTCATTTCGGCCGCTTGTATCCGAGATCTCATTCTTTCGGTCACAACCCAAAGCTCGTGACCATAGATGAGGGTAGGACCTCCTCCCTGACCCGGAGAGGGCTCTCTACCCTTTTCCGGCTCAAGACTTTCTAAATTATCTTATCTTAAATAAATATGATGGGATTTCAATTCAATTCAGAAATACTTTATTAATGCCAAAGGGAAATTATTTGTTGTCGTAACTTGTTATTCTCATTTCATTAAGAGATGTTATAGATACTGATGGCTGTAGACAGGAAGGATCTCTTGTAAAAGTCCATCCCACAGTGGATCCTAAGAAACTGGCTGCAGACGCCGTCCGATCCGTCCACCCAGACTCAGCTGGCCTCTTGGTTCCCCCGGGCTGTAGGACCACCCGAATGCCTGGCAGAACTCCTCCCAGAGCGATGGCCTCTCCTCCCAGCAGCCTGCTGAGCTCCCTGCGGACAGCCAACTGTAGGTGCCGAGGGACGATCCTGTCCTTCCACTGTCATGAGCCGTGTTTCCTGCTAGTTTCAGGATCCCAGCGGTCAGGCACTTGAGCACAGCTGGCAGGTAGATGAGAATGCATCCACAGAACATCCTTTTCAACTCATTTGAGATTTGAGGCTGTAGTTGAGATATTATTTGAGCTTTTGAGATGTTAATCAGCTGCTGTTGGTTGTAGAAAACTGCCTTGTTGCCATGGTTACGCATCATAACAAATGTCCAAAACTAAAAAAGCTTCAGTAAAAATCCTTTCAGCTGCACAACATCTGATACCAGAGGAAACAATCATCCAAAAAAATGTGATTTACTTCCAGAAAAAGAGGAATTAGTTCCCAAAAGCAAAATCTCAGAATTAAATTAACAGAGCTGCTCCAACATGCAGCCACCTTGAGCGGCGCAATTCCAGAACACAATTCTAGAACATTTCTCTTCAGCGCTAATGAGGAGGGGAGGGAGTATGGGGGAATAGCCCCCCTCCCTCTCCCCTGCTCAGTTTCATACGTGAGATGAGCTTACGGTAAATGAGATACTGGTATTTAAACACATTTACCATAGACAGAAAGATTTTTTTAAAACTTTGATTTAAATCTGTACCAGTCTTGACTGACTGACTGCTTTAAAATAAAATCTTGACTTTGCTGAGCTCACATGGGGGGGGGGGGCGCTCTGTTTAATGTTCGGATGTGGATGTAAGCTCAAAATGAGATCTCTGTATTTCAACACACATGTACTGTACACAGAAAGATGTCACACAGTAAGAATTTTAAAACTTTTATTAAAATATGTACAGACTTGACTATGGTACTGTTAAGATATTTATCTAGACTGGTCCTATGGTTTTGATCTGCTCAGAGATGGGATTATAATGAAATTATGACCCAGTTCTGACTGGGTTAAACTGGATTAGCAAGTCTAAAAAGAGTCTTCTTGGGATTCAATATCTGTCAGGAATAGCGTTTAATTCAATTCAATTCAATTCAAAAATACTTTATTAATCCCAGAGGGAAATTATATGTTGTGGTAACTCATCATCCTGGTTTCATTAATGAGTTGTTATAGATGCTGATGACTGTGGGCAGGAAGGATCTCTTGTAGCGTCTGTCCTACAACGGATTTGAAGAAGCCTCTGACTGAAGACACTTTGTTGTTGTATGACAGTCTGATGAAGAGGATGCTGAGGGTTGTCTATAATGTTCTTCATTTTATGAAGAATCCTTCTTTGTACAATTATCTCCAAAGGTTCTAGAGGAGTCCCCAGAACTGAGCCAGCCTTCTTTATGAGCTTGTTGATCTTTTTTAAGTCACTTGCTCTGGTGCTGCTCCCCCAGCAGATGATGGCAGAAGAGATGGTGCTCTCTACAACAGACTTATAGAAGATATGCAGCATCTTGCTGCAAATGTTGAAGGACTTCAGCTTCCTCAAGAAGTACAGTCTGCTCTGTCCCTTCTTGTAGACAGCTTCACTGTTGCATTTCCAGTCCAGTCTATTGTCCAGGTGAACTCCAAGGTATTTATACTTCTCCACCACCTCCACTTCTTCTCCCATGATGGAAATAGGGTTGGACCTGTTCCTGATTCTCCTGAAATCTACAATCTTATCCTTTGTTTTGTTCACATTCAAGATGAGATGATTGTTTCCACACCATGCCACAAAGCGGTCCACCAGTTCTCTGTACTCAGCTTCTTGTCCATCTCTGATACACCCAACTACTGCAGAGTCATCAGAATATTTCTGCAGATGACAGGAGTCTGTTTTGTACTGGAAATCTGAGGTGTACAGAATGAAAAGGAATGGTGAGAGTACAGTCCCCTGTGGTGCTCCTGAGTTACTGACCACCTGGTTAGACACACAACCCTTCAGTCTCACAAACTGTGGTCTGTTTGTCAGGTAGTCTTTGATCCAGGTGATTGTTGAGGCCTCCACCTGAGTCTTCTGAAGTTTCTGACAAAGCAAATTCAGGCTGGATTGTGTTAAATGCACTGGAGAAATCAAAGAACATGACTCTCACAGTGCTGTCTGCCTTTTCTAGATGACAGTGAGTTTGCTGAAGCAGGTGTATGATGGCATCATCAACTCCAAGTCCACGCTGATAAGCAAACTGCAGTGGGTCCTGATATGTGCTTGTTTGTCTAGTCAGGTGGGTCAACAGAAGTCTCTCTAGGACCTTCATGATGAATCTGCTTGCTACTTCACGTAGAAAGGCCTTTTGAAGCAACGTCTTGTATTTCCTAACACATCAGAACCAGATAAGATCCATTGAGATCACACTTAGTTAGGCCCCCTCATACACTGACAGGTTGAGCTCCCCTTCTAGGAGGAGTCTAGGACCCTATAAATGAGTAATGACACGGGACGTCGGGACTCTTCCGGGTTTGTGAACGCGTCATAGACTGGAGAGACCAGCGCTATGAACTGTAACCTTTTCCTGCCTTGATTTTAATACAATTGATAAAACTGAATTCATGTTTCCTTAATTTATTGATAGTATGAGTTGCCACTTCTGAGGGAGATTCGAGCCAGGGGAAGCGATGTGGGCTGGAGGCGGGTCCAGGGTCCGAGAGGGGGGCCTCTGGGTGACCGGTGACCCGCAGCCAGCCCTGGTCCAAACGCAACAGCACTTAGACTACTTCTGCTCAGCTGAGCTGATGGGGGGACAGCTTTAACACGGCTAAAAACAATTAAAAAGCACAGATGGTTGACCAGAAATCACTCATCGCTCTCCATCCTCTGTGAACTGAAACCATGAAAGTCCTCTTCTTCAGTGTCAGAATTGAAGAGGCTGAAAAAGACATTATCACACACTGGCTCCCTGTCGCTCTCGACGTCACTCTCCCTCGTGCTGTCCGCATCATCCCGCAGCAGTCCAGTCTTTCGAAATCCGTTTGCGCTTGCTGCATGTGTTTCTCTTTTGATACAGCTGGGGTGTTGTTTCAAGGACACGTTGGCTCAAACTTTTATTGTGCTTCATCTTGTGACTCTCAACATATTCTATCGAGTGGAACAAGTTAGATGTGTTCCCACTGCTAGTTGGAACGACTCTCCAGCACATTTTGCAGCACACTGAAACCTGCAGTTTATCAGATCTTAGAAAGCCGAACCACTTCCACATCGTCGTATTAGTCTTTCCTCTCTTATCAGTTATGTCATCTGCTTTCTCTTCACTTATGAAAGTTTGTTCAGTCACATTCTGACGGTCATGGGCGCTCATTTTGAAGCAAAAACTTACCGTGCATTGGAGATTAGCTTAGCCTAGCCTCCTACCACTGACTCCTTCTGGACTTGAGCTCTGTGTAACATCTACGTCCAGTGTTTCCCCTAGTTAGCTTGCCATGGCGGGGTGCTCATCTCATCCATGATTTTTGGTGATGGGGGGGACGAAGACATGTCTGAGCACAGCTTGTACTAACAGTTTTTGAGCAGGGGTCGTTCAACATGAGGGAAGAGGCCATGCGAGTGCTGCCTTTGGCTTTTTAGCAAGACAGCCTGTATTTTGCACCACTAGCTCAGTGATATGTCAGTGCCGGGTGGGGGTGGGAGGGGCAAGTTCAGTTTGGTAGGCGGGGTGCTCAGTTCTGTTGACGGGGTGGGGCACCCCGCCTGTGTAATGGTAGGGGAAACACCAACGTCACCACGTACTTACGTAGTTGTGTCACGGCCTTTTCTGTTCGGGTTGAAACTGAAGCGGCTGCTTCAACCCGAACAGAAAAAGAAATGTGTCGGTGAAATGCTGTAATCATATCAAAATATTGAAAATGTGCTTAAAACTCATATCACTGTTATTGAATAACAGTATATCGTAACATCTATCTATATCAAATTATTGTCCAGCCCTAGTTGACGCCATGACTGAAATTGTGAGAAATTAAGGAATTTGTCACGAGCAAATTAAAATCAGGTCCAGAGTGGCTACGGGAGGGTCTGGAGATTTCCCGGTGGGCTGGTTTGATGTGTGGGCTGCAGGGCCAGCGCTCCCTGTTATTTTTTTAGAACTTTTTATTAACAACATATAAACACAGAACACCGCTGCTGCTGGGCTGCCAGCTCTCGTGTTTTTATTTTTTATATATATATATATATATTATTATTATTATTATTATTATTTTTGACCTGTCAATCAATCCAGTAAGCGTATCAGCAAATGACCAATCGGTGAACTCAGTCTGTCCTGAAGTTAAACGCCCCTTGCCTGCGGAGCTGGCTGCAGCCGGTCAGGGTGTACGCTCAAGTATGAAGTCTCAACCGTCTGGGGACATTTCGTGCAGTTTCCGCACGGCTCATGTTCCGCCTGAGTCTGTGGGAGCCTTTACCATGGTGATTCTGCCGGGCTTAAGGAGAACCTCCTTAGTGATAACAATTTCTGTCTGTGGCTTCTACGATTAGTATAAACAACTGGGAATAAGGTTTGAACAGACTGAGAGCTTAGTTTGTTGTTGCTCATATTTGTTTTAATATAAAATCTAAAGAAACACATTTATTTATTTTACTATTTGTTGTTTTGTGACTGCGGTTTATACTACAACCTGAACAAACACTTTTTGTGTGTGTGTGTGTGTGTGGGGGGGCAATTTAGATTATTAATGCACAGTTAATCTGTTGAATGTTTATTTTTAATGTTCTCATGTTTAGAAAAAAAATTACGATTGGATTTGAAGACCATTTAATAAGTATTTACGTTTGTACTTGTCAATGATAAGCAAAGTACATAAAAATCTGAATTATTTTTCATTTTATGTAAACTGCCACTTAATAAAATATCCATGCTGATTTTTGCTCATAAATCGAATTCTAAATGAATCCAATCTGCAAACGTGGACGTTATTTAGTGAAACTGGAAGACAGGAAGGACATTTACTCTCTGCACAGGAGCTCTCTCATCGAGGGTCTAACCAGGAACGTTCATCTGGCAGACTGAACAGAGTCAGAGTTTCTTTATTTGTCATATATGCCATGTGTGGTACATGTGGTGGAACAAAATTGTGTACACAGGGTCCCAGTTACATCCAACAAAAGTATAAAATGTAAAAGAAAAACAGTAATAAGATCCAAGATATGAACTAAGAAAAACATTAACTAAAAATACACTAAGCTCTACTACTGTATTTTTAGGCCTACAAGTCAGAGTTTGTTGCATAATTTGCATGCCCTGCGACTTATACACCGAAGCGACTTATTTATATTTATATATTTTTTACCATATTTATAAACCAATTTTTGGCTGAGATATGACCGTTTTCATTAATTCTGACTGAAAGTATTGAACACTACCATTTTCAGCCACTAGATGACAGGTGAGTAACATGGCATGCCGTTGTATCATGTAATAGGTAAAAAAGTGGCTATTAATGACACTATCGGCTTGCCATAGCCTCCTAACGTTTTCTGCCTGTAGCAACCGTCAAATCAGCTTCATTTTGCTGTGCTGCCCCGGCGAAATGCAGCTGATTTGACCATTGAAATGCATTTATTACAGAGTGTCCGCGGGGTCTTGAAAGTTATTAAAAGTTGATAAATCAAATTTGGGAAAATTAAGGGTCTTGAAAAGTATTAAAAAGTCTTGAAAGCGATTTGATGAGGTATTATTTTTTTTGCTGTTATTCTAGCTTTAAATAATTTGACAGCAAAAAGTATGTATGACTAATATTTGTTTTCCTCACCGCGGAGGATTCGGAAACTGCTTCGCACAAATTTAGAGTGTCAGGTTACAACAGCCTTAACAGCTAGGCCTATCTTGTGCGCATGCGCGGCTGCTTTGAGTCTGTGTGTTCGAGTAAGTTGCCGCGAGACCGTGAGAACAATGGGTAAATGCAAGTTTTCGGACTCCTGGTTGGAGATGCCTGATTTTCAAGAATGGCTGAGGCCTGTCGCCGAGAATAACCGCGAGGCTTATTGTACATTTTGTAAAAAAAAGATGAGCGTAGCCTCGATGGGCATAAAGGCCACAGTGGAGCGTGGATTCTCAGTTAACAAGCAGGTCAAAACCTGCAACATACACGAAGAGACGATGGAGGCTCTGAGGTTGATCTGCGACAAGGTCAGTGTCTGTGGGGGTGTTCTGCAGGTACCTCTGGCCAAGGAGCTGCTGGCTTCTGTTGCCTCTGCAAGGTCAAAGTACAGGATTTACCTGGAACAGCAACAAAAGAAGAAAGAAACTTCCACACAGAGCCTTAAGAGGAAAGCAGCTGGAGCTGAGTTAGAAGAGCTGAAAAAAAAGAGAAAACTTCTACAAGAGGTGTGCGATTCTCTGCAAAAAGATGCAGATCAGTTGGCAGAGCAGGCAGAGGGAAAGTCAGGTTCTTTAATGGCCCAACTGATCACCAAGTCCAATGTCTTGAGAAGGAGACGTAAAGAAAAACTCAGTGAGCTGGTGCAAACTGAAGAGTTGCTGGAATGCAAAGCAACTGCACTGAGGCACATGTAATGATTACTGTGTTTATTTCTTATTCGCCATTGTTCAACCAAGTTACTTTAAAATAACTACGAGTCTTGTTGTAACCTAAGCTATATTTTCTTAAACCTAGTCGTGGTTCAGTTTCTTCTTTTGAATTTTTTTCTATCCACTGTATCTCAGTTCTGTTGTAGGTTTGAGATTCACAGATTTAATTGAAAACAACAGCAGTTTTGTAAATCAAAGATTTGTTGCTTAATAAAACAAAGTGACGATAAGGTCTTGAATTTATTTTGGAAGGTCTTGAAAAAGTCTTGAAAAGGTATTGAAATTAACTTCATTATTTCTGCATATACCCTGTATTAAGTAAAAGGTCAACCGACACACCTTTGCTATAAAGTCGAGCAAACAATTGTTTTTAGGTGTTTATCTTGTTATATTTGAAGAAATGCGCAGCGTTCCTCCTTCCTGATTTCCTCCCTCAGAGCGCGCTCCCAGAGCACTGAGGCAATGGATTCTTTTGAAAATGCAACTGATTTAACCGTCAAAGTGCATTTATTAAGTAAAAGTTCAACTGAGACACACCTTTACTATAATTATGAGCAAACAAATAATTGTTTTTTGGTGGTTATCTTGTTTAAATTTTGAAGAAATGCACAGCGAGTCCTCCCGTGCACTTGCTTACTTCTGCGTATCGGCTTTTGAAATGCAGCTGATTTGACCGTCAAAGTGCATTTATTAAGGAAAAATTAGACTGAGACACACCTTTACTATAATTTCGAGCAACCAAATAATTGTTTTAAGTGTTAATCTTGTTAAATTCTTGTTAAAGTCCTCCCATGCAACTCTCCCGCAGCTGCCATTTGGTAGCCAATGGATTTTTGGCACAACACCGGCCCACATTTCCGTGTTGTCAGCTGTGACGCATAGATGCGACGTATACGGCGAAGAAACATATTTATGTATTTTCAACTTTATTAGACATATTTGGACTGATGGAACTTATAGGGCGTTGCGACGTGTACGGTGAAAAATATAGTAGTACAAAAACAATATGCTGAACAGCGAACGTTGATATCTTAGAGGCTTCAGTATAGTTTTTCCAGGATTTCAACATTGTTTACTTCAATCCCCATTTTTGTCTGTTTGTCCTTTCAGGGTGAGGATTTTAAGACTTCATCAGAACAAGTGGGTGAAGTCAAGATCGTAGCTGAAGGCAGGACGCGCTCAGTCAGATCCTTCGGCACGGCAGAACTCATTCGCCCCCAGAGACTAAAGTACTTTGAAAGTACGTCCTGTCCTGTAGTCCTGTGAATTACAGCTATGGAGTATGAGTTGTCTGGCTGACAGTTGAGTTGTGCTTCAGGTCATAATGATGCTGAAGGGGAGTCGGATGAAGACGAGGACTATGTTCCCTCTGAAGACTGGAAAAAGGTGAGCAAAGTTCAGAAGTTAAACAGAGCCCTGCTTTCTGTGAGTGGTGTAATCAGAGTTCAAGTGGTTTTGTCACTGATGCTGTCCAACAGGAGATCATGGTGGGCTCCATGTATCAGGCGGAGACCCCTGCTGGTTTGTGTAAATACAAAGACAACGAGAAAGGTAAACTGGGAGATTCTGTCAAGCTGTGGATCATGTAAAGTCACTTGTAGTGGATCTTGTAGAATCTTGGTTGATCTCTTTGTGTATCCTTTAGTTTATGAAAATGATGACCAGTTGTTGTGGAACCCCGACTGTGTTGCTGAGGATAAAGTTGTGGAGTTTCTGACAGAGGCATCGAGGCGGACTGGAGAGGAAAAGGGAGTGGACGCAATCCCTGAGGGATCACACATCAAAGACAACGAACAGGTGAAACGGTCTTCACATCTGCAGCTTGATAAGTCACACAAAGCAGGATAATGCTTTATTACTGTTGACATGACTCATCCAGATGTGTTTGTTTTCCTGCAGGCGTTGTATGAACTGGTAAAGTGTGACTTTGACACAGACGAAGCTCTAAGGAGGCTGAGGTTTAATGTAAAAGCAGCCAAAGGTGAGCAGAGTCTTCAGATATTCCTCGTGTTTAGCTTCGGTGTACTTGGGGATTAAAGTTAATAAAAATCTTTTGACTGAAAATCTTTTCTACACCCAGAGATTACTCGAGCAGTGACACTTAATCCTGCATCATTGAGATTCTCAAGATCAACGGCATTTTCAAGAAAGAGGGCACAACACAACAACTTTTCTCTAGTTTACTTTTCTGCCATTTCAGTCTTTTCAGTTGGGGATTGTCATATATATATATATTTATATATATATGTGTGTGTATATATATATATATATATGTGTGTGTATATATATAATTTTTAAATAGTATCACAGTACTTTTTTTTTTTTTGCCTGACAGGATTTCCCCTTTAAATGACTTATTTCATTCAAAGGGATTATATTTACAGGATTTCAGCTCCAGTATGTAGTAATTTACTAATTTTATTTTTCAATTCAGTTTATTTATATAGCGCCAAGTCACAACATAAGTCATCTCAGGGGTTGAACAGAAACATTCGTGTGTAAAAATAATTATTTAACATTATTATAACATTACTATTATAAAAGTCTGCTTTGAGTTTAACTCCATCGCAGACTCATCTTGAGCAAGCATGAAGGCGACAGTGGAAATGAAAAACTCCCTCATGAGGAAGAAACCTTTAGCAGAACCAGGCTCAGGACAAACGACCATCTGCTTCGACCGACTGGGTTTGAGAGGAACAGATACACAATGGCAGGTCAAGAATCACATGTTAAGATAGAAATAGTATCAAATGAAAACTATTCAATTTTAACAATTAATTTAAGGAAATTAGGTCAATTTGTCCTTTATTAGTCCAAGCTTAAGACAGCATAACAAACCGACCCTAACTATAGGATTTATCAAAAAGGAAAGTCTTAATCCCAGTCTTAAAACTGGACAATGTATCAGCCTCACAGACAGAAACTGGAAGTTGGTTCCACAAGAGAGGAGCCTGAAAACTGAAAGATCTTCCTCCCATTCTGCTTTTGGAAACTCTAGGAACCACAAGTAAACCTGCAGTCTGAGAGCGAAGTACTTTGTTAGGAAAAAATGGAACAATAAGATCTCAAATATTAGATGGAGCTAGGTTGTTGAGAGCTTTGTAGGTTAGAAGTAAGATTTTGAATTCTGGACTTGACAGGGAGCCATTGGAAAGAAGCTAAAACTGGAAAGAGATGATCTCTCCCACTAACTCCAGTTAAGATTGTGGCAGCAGCATTTTGGATCATCTGAAGATGTTTTAAAGAAGTATTTGGACATCCAGTTAATAAACCATTGCAATAGTCCAGTCTAGACGTGACAAATGCATGGACCAGTTTTTCTGCCTCATTTTTAGATCAGATGTTTCTAATTTTAGTGATATTACGCAGGTGGAAGAAGGAGGTTCTAGTAACGTTTTTAATGTGGGGGATAAAAGACATGTCCTGATCAAAAATAACACCAAGATTTTTAACATTAGAGCTGGAGGACAGATTAATGCCATCTAAGGAGGGAGAAAGACTGAAAAAATAATTCCTAAGATGCTCAGGTCCAAAAACTAAAACCTCAGTCTTGTCTATGTTCAAAAGCAGAAAACTCAAGGGCATCCAGGTTTTTATATCTTCAAGACATGCTTGTAGTCTAAGTAGCTGATTGGATTTATTGGGTTTAATGAACAAATACAGGTGCTGGTCATAAAATTAGAATATCATGAAAAAGTTGATTTATTTCAGTAATTCCATTCAAAAAGTGAAACTTGTATATTATTTTCATTCATCAGAATCAGAATAAACTTTATTGGCATTGCACCGAGATACAACGCGAATATGTACGTACAGTCGTCCAAAGATGGGCGGAGTGCACAAAGCTGCGGCTAAAAATAATCAGCGCGGCCTTCTTATTATTATTCAGAATAATGTTTTGCTTAGATAAGAAAAGGAAAGAAAACATGAGGAGAGACGGTATAAAAAAAAGATCTCTCACATCGTGTCCTAGACAGGGCACAATTTGAGGCATTAAAAAAAACCTACGACAGCAAAGCAACATAAACAGACGTTATACATGAACATATAGGCGGTGAAAACATTGAATTTTTAAGGGAAAGTCGTAACATAGTCCAGAGCCCCCCCTCAGCCATTGTCCAGATAAGAGGTGACGTTCATCTTCAGCTCAGTTAAGGTTCTGTCACATGTCCACGGCCTTAGGGAAGGGAGGGGTGAGGAAACAGTCAAAGCATCTTTGTTGTTTTCCAAACATGCCAGGAGGAGTTGAGATAAGTCCGGCATCAAGGCCACAGTTTGGGTCAGGCAGAACTCGTAATTGTTGTTTCTGCCTTTAAAGTCTCGCTGGTACATATTCTCTGATGGAAACTCCAAAACAGCTGAATTGATCCTTTACTCCAAAAGTTGAGCTCACAGCTTTCTCCAAGATTATTCCCATCATTCATGAGTGCTGCCAGGGAGAACACAGTCCTGATATAGCTGCTCCAAATCCCTGTCACAGCTCCACATTCAGTCCGAGCACTGTCAAGCTTCAACACCTCCACACAAATTTGTAGACAAACAGATTCCAACAAACCCAAAACAGTAGAATCCAGTTGTCAGCATGAATCCAATTTTTCCTCTAGAGTTCAGAGTGTCCTCCTTATCCTGACTCCTGTCGGGAGAAGTTGATCGATTTTGTTGAGAGACCAGCTGATCCTTCCAATTAAGAGGTATGCAGGGGAAAAAAAGAGGCTTTTTAAGGGTTCAGGGGACAAAAGAGCACAGCAGGGAAGCGGGTGGGGGGGCAGAGAGGGAAAACACGTCTGGTTTCACCGTAGAGTAGCAAAAAAAAATTACACACATATTGATATATTTCAAATGTTTATTTATTTTATTGTTGATGATTGTAACTGACAACTAATGAAAACCCCAAATTCAGTATCTCAGAAAAATAGAATATTACGTAAGACCAATAAAAAAAAAGTAATTTTAGAAATGTTGGCCAACTGAAAAGTATGAACATGAAAAGTATGAGCATGTACAGCATCAATACTTAGTTGTTGCTCCTTTTGTCTGGATTACTGCAGCAATGCAGCGTGGCATGGAGTCATTGAGTCTGTGACACTGCTCAGGTGTTACGAGCGCTCAGGTTGCTCTGATAGTGGCCTTCAGCTCTTCTGAATTGTTGGGTCTGGTGTATCACATCTTCCTCTTCACAACACCACATAGATTTTCTATGGTGTTAAGGTCATGCAAGTTTTCTAGCCAATTAAGAACAGGGATACCATGGTCCTTAAACCAGGTACTGGTAGCTTTGGCACTGTGTGCAGGTGCCAAGACCTGTTGGAAAATTAAATCTTCATCTCCATAAAGTTGGTCAGCAGCAGGAAGCATGAAGTGTCTAAAACTTACTGGTAGAAGCTACGTTGACCTTGGACCTCAGAAAACACAGTGGACCAACACCAGCAGATGACATGACACCCCAAACCATCACTGACTCTGGAAACTTGACACTGGACCTCAAGCAACGTAGATTCTGTGCCTCTCCTCTCTTCCTCCAGACTCTGGGACCTTGATTTATGCTAAATTTATTTTCATCAGAGAACATAACTTTGGACCACTCAGCAGCAGTCCCAGGCGAGACGCTTCTGACACTGTCACTTGTTCAAGAGTGACCTGACACAAGGAATGTGACAGCTGAAACCCATGTCTTGCATATGTCTGTGCATGGTGGTTCTTGAAGCGCTGACTCTAGTTGCAGTCCACTCTTTGTGATTCTCCCTCACATTTTGGAATGTGTTTTGTTTTACCATCCTCTCCAGGGTGTGGTTATCCCTATTGCTTGTACACTTTTTTTCTACCACATCTTTTCCTTCCATTCGCCTCTCTATTAATGTGCTTGGACACAGAGCTCTGTGAACAGCCAGCCTCTTTAGCAAAGATCTTTTATGCCTTGCCCTCCATGATTGTGTAGCCTACAGAACTAGACTGAGAGACCATTTAAAGGCCTTTGCAGGTGTTTTAAGTTAATTAGCTGATTCGAGTGTGACATCAGGTGTCTTCAATATTGAACCTTTTCACAATATTTTTCTGAGATACTGAATTTGGAGTTTTCATTAGTTGTCAGTTATAATCATCAACATTAAAAGAATTAAACATTTGAAATATATCAGTCTGTGTGTAATGAATGAATATAATATACAAGTTTCACTTTTTGAATGGAATTGCTGAAACAAATCAACTTTTTCATGACATTCTAATTTTATGACCAGCACATGTATAACTGTCTATCATCAGCATAGCAATGAAAATTTATCTCATGCTGTTTAATAACTTTACCTAATGGAAGCATATACAAGATAAAGAGTATTGGTCCAAGCACTGAACCCTGAGGAACACCATGACTAACTTTGGTGTATGATGAAGATTCATTATTTACATTTACAAATTGGAATCTATCAGATAAATATGATTTAAACCAATTTAGAGCCGTTCTTGTAATTCCAACATGATATTCAAGTCTGTGTAGTAGAATATTATGATCAACTGTATCAAATGCAGCACTGAGGTCTAACAGGGCTAGTGTCCTGTTTTCATATTGTAACATATATTGAATTACATACATCACAGTACAGTTACCTCTCAGTGTGGTTCCAAATATAAGCAAGCTCATCACATTCAAACAGCCAAAGCACCTGTTGCTATAATACTTTGTAAAATTAAAATTTGCTGATATTTATAATATGTGCATCTAAAAACAATAGAATATTGTGGAAAAGTAAAAAAATAAAAGCTTCTAATTTCAGAAAGTGAAACTCATATTTTACATAGATTCGTAACACAGTGAAATATTTCAAGCCTTTATTTTAATTTTGATGATCATTGCTTACAGATAATGAAAAAACAAAATTCGGTGTCAGTAGGGAAACGCTGATTTCCATCCCTTTCTGTCATCCGATATAGAGATTTTGAGCTATTGTGCCAAGTTAGAAATGTGTCTTTTTCCAATAACAGTAAATCTGATAAGGTTTAGATGTACCAGCTTTGTGACCAGACTTGAATGCAGCATTACCTTTGTCAATTTGAAGTGGGGGGCTTGTGAGCATCCCCAGACCTGCACGACAACTCTCTCCCGAGGTCTCTCCAGAGTTCAGCCTCTGTCCAGGAGTTGGGTTCCAGAGCCCAAGCTGTGTGTAGAAGTGAGCCCAACTATATCTAGTTGGTACTGTTCAATCTCACAGACAAGCTGCAGCTCCTTACCTGTCAGTGAGGTGGCGCTTCACGCCTCTAGAGCTAGTTGATGCCACCAGGAATCGGCATGGCCTGCCGCCCAACATGTACAACACCTGACCTTGACGGACCTCCTCGCATCTGGTGTGTCCACGTTGAGGTGTTGCTGTTATTTTTTCGGGCTTGGCCCCACCAAGCCTCAGAAGTCCAGGCTCAACTACAAGATGCTTGCCAGTGAGCTTCCCCCACCCCCAGGCCTGGCTCCAGGGAGGTGCACCAGTTTCCCTTTTCCAGGCGGGGTTCCTTGATGAGAAATGTTTTTTGATCAAGGTTTTGAATCGCTGTTCGTTTGACCCCTCCGCTGAGACTTGTTGGCCATGGGAGACCCTACCAGATGCATGAATCACTGGTCAAATTTTAACGAAACTTGCAGAAAGTAATCATTAAGTAACAGCTGATTATTAGAGCAGGAGCCTGTAGCGATCAGCCGAACTGGAAAGGTAACAAAATTAGGTTTGCCCAGCAGGAATCTACGAACTTAAAAATACATAGGAATGAACATCTGCCAGTCCCCTACTGGTGGGTTTGGTCCTTAGGCTCATGATAAAGCACAAAAAAATCATCTAGCTCTGCTCTTGTGAGTAACATAATAAAACCAGTCAAAACATGAAAAGCATGATACAGTAGTCCCTTCTCGTTTATCACAGGGGATCCGTACCCTGAAGACCCGTGATAAGTGAAAAACTGTGAAGTAGGAATAGTAGTACAAATGGTAATAGTAGTTTATTTTAGTATTTATATATACAATGTGTACGTGTGTGTGTGTATATATATATATATATATATATATATATATATATATATATATATATATATATATCTATGTTTCTAAACACTCAAAAAGAGAACAGAATGTCATGATTTCTTTTCTCTTCCACGGCTGCACTGTGCGCTCTCAGCCACACCCACTTCTCCGCTCTGCACAGAGATCAGCTGATCAGCTGCAGGAGGAAGTTTCTCCTGCAGTACGAGCTGCACAGAGGTGCAGCAGGTGCTAAATAATTTAAAATAATACATTTTAAATAAAAACTCCATGCCAATTGTGCAGCTCATCTTCAATCAGCCAATTGCGTCATGTCCAATCTTATTTTGAAAAACCGTGATAGAGCGAGTCCTCGATAAACTGATTAGTGAGGGACTGCTGTGTAGTAATAGATTGATTTATTGTTGGTTCCTTTTTGCATCCAATAGATTTGGGCTACAACATTTCAACGTTAGTTCTGCCTGTTACATGTTTCAGCCTGTGTGTGTGTGTGTGTGTGGAGGGGGTGGGATTCAGCGTTTACCCCCACTCCCAAGCCCCCCATATTTAAATCCATTCATTGCTTCATGACGTATTTAATAACCGACAGACACACGCAGGCTTTGAGTTTCTGTTCACACAATTTAACAAAATGTGTCCATCGTTTTAGTTTCAGTTTAAATTTTATGAGGCAGTATTTGTTTAATGTTCGCTAGTAAAGAAATGTAACCCTCCAGGATTTTTATAAAAATACAACATTAACACCAGTTTTCTGTTTAACAGAAGAGATATCTGTCTGGACTGAAGAGGAATGTAGAAACTTTGAGCAAGGACTAAAATCTTATGGGAAAGATTTTCATTTAATACAGGCCAACAAGGTAAGAAGAGTTAAGAATGTTCTTCTTTGACTTTGTGCTGACACTCCGTCTTCAGAGCACTGTAATAATGGTCATTTTTATGTGTGCTGAATTAAATCTTTCAGGTGAGAACTAGGTCTGTAGGAGAATGTGTGGCCTTTTATTACATGTGGAAGAAGTCTGAGCGTTATGATTTCTTTGCACAGCAAACCAGACTTGGAAAACGGAAATACAACCTTCATCCTGGTGTCACGTAAGTCTTCTTCCAAAGACGAGGTCGTTCAGATAGACGTTGAACTGAAGAAATGTCTCCCTTGTTGTTTTTGTATATTTCTAATATTTCAGTGGAGGTTTACTATTCCAAACCATGAGGAGTGATTTGTGTAAAGTTAGGCGTTACGTCTCATCTAGATCCCATTCTCTATCAGTGTCCCATTAGAAAACAGGCCTGTTGACTGTGTGTAAGGAAGATGTGCTGCTGTGTTGTAGAGACTACATGGACAGATTATTGGACGAGACGGAGAGTGCCACGTCCAGCAGGGCAGCATCTCCTCCACCCACCACCTCCAGCAGCAGCACCAGCCACTCAGAGAGGGAGGACAGCAGCAGCCAGAACGGTCAGCAACAGTCTGTTTACACGCACAGCTACACACATCCATTCTAAAAGCTAAAGCAAGACGACGCCCTTTACTGTATAAAACAATTTGTCCCTTGAAGGTTCAAGGTTAAATGAGACTTTATTGTCGTTCGCATCACTTGGTACATGAGGTGGAACGAAATTGTATACTAAAGGTCCCAGTACACCCACAAATAGCAAAAATATAAATTATAAAAGAAACAGCATACAAGGATCAAAGATATACACTAAACAATAATAATGTAATATAATACAGTGTATTAAACAAAACAAGTAGACTAAGGACAAGTGACATTAAGCTTTTTGTTTGTCAATCCACATATTGTGCGTTACATTTGACACTCCCTCCATTGGTATTCTATGTTGTTGTTTTTAGGGCTGCAATGATTAGTGTGTTGAGTACAAAGAATAACTGATGCAGACGTTTAACACCAATAATCTACAGTCATCAATGGACAGCTGTGGTCATGAAGAACTAACTGTTGGATAAAATGTCCTCTATTCATTTGTTACTTACTCAAAGAAGCCACACGCAATGACAGGAGAACATTTTTTAACTGGTTTCACTTGCGAGGACAGATTTTCACAACAGGTTAGATGTACAGAAGTTACACGCATGGAGCCCAGTCACAAGAATCTGCCATGGGCAGTGTGCAAGGCTTGTTTTTATAAGCTTATCAGCTCGCACTGCTCACAGGCAGACTGGTGTCCTTGGACTGCCAGCTGCACATGCAGGATCAAAGTTCCCTTCCCTCTCTGAGAGAAAAGAACTCTCTTTAACTCAAACACATGGTTCATGGGCAGTTAACATTCTCAGCCATAGTAGTTAAAAACATCCATAAACCTTGAGCAGAACTCCCTGACAGGAACTAACAGTTTGTCGGCGCTGTAGTCTTTGAACGAAGAAGAATGTTGAAGAGGGTGAGGATACTGAAGCTAAAGACTTTTAATCTAGAATTACATTTGTGTAGGACATGGCCAGCTTTCCTGCCTGCGTGTTCCAGTACAAGTTTTAGTGTCCTAAAATTCCTAGATTTAATCATCGCAATTTAGTCCTTAAAAGTCTTAAACGTGTCCAAATGTTGTTTTTGGTCATAAAACTCATTTAACTACCATTTAAATTTTGTTCGTTCTGCTTCTTCATAATCAATAGATGCTTTCCCCTCTCTGTCAGCATTCATGCATTCTGTTATCTGAAGATATAAGATGTTATTATGCTGTAACAAAACAAAAAGTCCCTTCATGCACCAGCCCTGCCTTGGTCTTCATGATGATTGGTGGTAACCCTTACTACTTAGAGGGGGTTGTCAGAAAAGGTGTTAACACACTGAGATCATCTGACACTTAAGGCTGTCTATAGGTGGGACCTTCTTTAACTACTACTACTCTGAAGGTAATGGTTGGTTGGGGGGGGTAATATATGCACACGCCATTTTGTATTTTTACATTTTTAGAATTATTTAAAACAAGTTGTATTTAATTTCTTTAATCGGAAGTAGTGTAGCTCCATCACTTATAACGACATGAAAAATGTAACTAATGCCCCTTTTCCATTAGTACCGGTACGGGCCGACTCGACCCTACTTGGCCCGGTTCTGAGGCTTTTCCATTAGTACCGGTACTTAGCACCTGTTACTATTTTCAGTACCCTTGGCTCTGTGGTTCTAACCGGTACGAAGAGGTACAAAAACGTGACGTCAGTACACTGTCGGTCACTGGTTGGTCGGGGGCGGAGTCGGGGGCGGAGTCACTGGATCCTTCAGAAACGTTTCAAAACAATAATCCGCCATTTGCAATTTCTCGGACTGGAGCAGAGGCTGGACTTATTTTAAAGATTTTAAAAACAATACTGACAACATCTTGGTCTAATGTTGATGTGCTGGCATTTTTTGTGCTTGGTGGCCGTCTCAGCGCCACCAGCTGGTGAGAGGCCGTGACGTCAATTTGAACCCCGCCCACTGGAACCGGTACTGAAAGCATAATGGAAACACAACCTGTACCGTACCGAGTAGAGTAGAGCCGGGCTGTACCGGCCCGTACCGGTACTAATGGAAAAGGGGCATTAATCTCAGGGTGTAAGGCCACAAAACAGAATCCTAAAGGGGGGGGGGGGGGGGGTTGACTTAAAATCCCATCTTGAATCTTGAAGATCCACCATGAATAGGAGCAGCCATCAGGTTTGCACTGCGCTTTACATCTGAGAAGATGATCTTCAATCAACTCTTGATCTTATGTTAGAGTCCAGTCACATCTCTGCATTGTACTAACACGGTTTATTTTTATCAGGTGTTTCCAGTCACCCCACAGAGGGCTCTCAGTTGCCTCCAGTCAAAGCTGAGGGGGTTCAGTCCAACGGTCCATCTCATTGGGTGGAAGCTCCTCCTTCACTTCCAGACAACAACTCCAACGGTTGCAGCCAACTCAGCTCGCCCAGCCACGACAGAAACGGCTCTCTAGAGTCGCTAGACCACAAAAACACAGCAGTGGTGACACCGGACAGGCCTGCCAAGAGGTGCAGGACAGAGGCAGAACCACTGGACCAAAGTGAAGTGGAACCACCTAGAACACATGAGAACTGAAGGCTCTGCAACGGTCACAGAGAGACACTGACTTAGGGTGACACATCTCTGCATACATGGGTAGTTCAGCAGAGAACGAGGAAGATGAACTGTGGCTGACCTGAGAGCACCTGCTTGAAGAAGTCCAAAGGTTGCAGAAACTCATCCTTTGAGGAGTGTAACACCCCCCCCCCCCCCTCCAAACTGTCTACAAAGCTCATCCCAAAGTACCACAGTACAATTACATCTTACGTCTACCCATCTTCTCACTGGGGGTTTGGAGAGCATCAACATTTTGCCAAGAATTTTCTTTTACTATTTGTACCTAAAACAAATGATCATTGATATTTTTTTACACTAGATATTTATATTTTTTCACCAAAAAAAGAAAATAAATCTAATGATAGGCTGTTGAAGCCACTTGTTTGCTGTTAAGGACTGGATTGGTCACAAAGATGCACAAACAGGAGTGGGCCGGTGCTGGTTTACTGCAGCTGCACGTTGTCTCACCATGGACGAGGAGTGGAGCCCAGCAGAACCTTCTTCACTCCTTCCTGTCACGGCTCGTTGTCTGGTTAGAGTAAATAAACCTGCAGGTTTGTTTGTGAAGAGCAGCTGACATCAGTGATGTCCTGTACACCTCTAGTTTTGAATCTTCTGAGTCACTCGATGCTTGGTTTGTACTAGACAGAATGTTCGATCTTACATGTAAAGTTTTATAGATTTATTATCTTCAGCCGTTAATTTTCCTCATAAACGTTTGTATCTTCTGGTCTTCCCTGTGTTTTATGTTTGTAAACCTAGCTAACGTTTCTCCAAGATGGATGTAATAAAAACTAGCCATTCCTCTTTACCGTTGTTTGACAGTACTTCCACTTCTTGTAATGTTTCTTAGTACGAGAGTTTCCCTGCTGAAAAGACACCTTCTGTTTGCTCGTACCGCTCCTTTCAGTTTGAAACAACTCCTTCCGTGCTTTGTTTCAGCTGTTGGTAACTTCAGAGCAACAAGTGTGATTTTTTTTAAAGCAACTTCTGGTACAGCAACTATTCAGCTTTAATGTTTCTCTTTGTACTGCAGCTTTGGACAGAAACTCTTCTCAGTGCTGATCATGTAACGTTTGTTGCTCCTTCAAAGATGGCAAATAAAACTGAAGTGTATTCCACAAACGGCCATCATAGGATTTACTGAACATGTTTAATAAATGTATTGATGAAAATGAGTTGTCAAGATTTTTATTAAAAACAGATAAATAAAAAAAACCACACTCAGTTACAAATTAGAATAAAAAATATTTTATTGATTTCTTATACAAACATTCTTATATTTAATCAAAAGTTCTTAATTATGTAAAAAAAGTTACTGTATTTGTAAAGTATTATTACACACATTAAAACGATGTCGTCCAAGTACGTCGAGTATCAGGACTGGACTCCACGATTTACTCCTTTTCTGTTCAACATGATCCAAAACATTTCAAGTCAGATTACAGTTCCAGGAATTCAAGATTTTGGACTGAAGGTGTTTAAATCTGCTCTTACTGGTGTGTTCCTGTGTGAAGGTGATGTAGGAGTAGACCAGGCTCCCAGCGATGCTGAGGAGAAACCAAAGAGCAAAATGTTTTCAAAGACCCACAACCTGTTTAAACACAAAACTCTAGATGCAATTAAAATATACTTTCTGGAACATTTTAATCAACTCTTACTCATTTTCAAAGCCACAGATGCAAGTAATTTTGTGCTCGTCTTACTGGACCTTACATCTGCTTTTGACACCATCGACCACGAGATCCTTATTTCTAGGCTCAAGCAGTGGGTGGGCATCACAGGGTCGGCCCTCAAATGGTTGAGATACTAACTCTCTGATGTCTTGTGTCAACATTAAGGATTTTAGTTCATCATCAGCAACTCTTCTGTGTGTGTTGGGGGGGGAACCACAGGGGGCCATCCTCAGTCCCCTTCTCTTTTCTTTGTACCTGCACTACAAGTCCTTCTCAAAAAATTAGCATATTGTGATAAAGGTAATTATTTTCCATAATGTAATGATAAAAATGAAACTTTCATATATTTCAGATTCATTGCACACCAACTGAAATATTTCAGGTCTTTAATTGTTTTAATACTGATGATTATGGCATACAGCTCATGAAAACCCAAAATGCCTGTCCCAAAAAATTAGCATATTTCATCCCACCAATGAAAGACAAGTGTTTTTAATACAAAAAACGCCAACCTTCAAATAATCATGTTCAGTTATGCACTCAATACTTGGTCGGGAATCCTTTTGCATGAATGACTGCTTCAATGCGGCGTGGCATGGCGGCAATCAGCCTGTGGCACTGCTGAGGTGTTATGGAGGCCCAGGATGCTTCGATAGCGGTCTTAAGCTCATCCAGAGTGTTGGGTCTTGCGTCTTTCAACTTTCTCTTCACAATATCCCACAGGTTCTCTATGGAGTTCAGGTCAGGAGAGTTGGCAGGCCAATTGAGCACAGTAATACCATGGTCAGTAAACCATTTACCAGTGGTTTTGGCACTGTGAGCAGGTGCCAGGTCATGCTGAAAAATGAAATCTTCATCTCCATAAAGCTTTTCAGCAGATGGAAGCATGAAGTGCTCCAAAATCTCCTGATAGCTGCATTGACCCTGCCCTTGATAAAACACAGTGGACCAACACCAGCAGATGACGTGACACCCCAGTGACTGTGGAAACTTGACACTGGACCTCAAGCAATGTGAATTCTGTGTCTCCGCTCTTCCTCCAGACTCTGGGACCTTGATTTCCAAAGGAAGTGCAACATTTACTGTAATCAGAGAACATAACTTTGGACCACTCAGCAGCAGTCCCAGGCGAGATGCTTCTGCCGCTGTTTCTGGTTCAAGAGTGGCTTGACCTGGGGAATGCGGCACCTGTAGCCCATTTCCTGCACACGCCTGTGCACGGTGGCTCTGGATGTTTCTACTCCAGACTCAGTCCACTGCTTCCGTAGGTCCCCCAAAGTCTGGAATCGGCCCTTCTCCACAATCCTCCTCAGGGTCCGGTCACCTCTTCTCGTTGTGCAGCGTTTTCTGCCACACTTTTCCCTTCCCACAGACTTCCCACTGAGGTGCCTTGATACAGCACTCTGGGAACAGCCTATTCATTCAGCAATTTCTTTCTGTGTCTTACCTTCTTGCTTGAGGGTGTCAATGATGGCCTTCTGGACAGCAGGCAGGTCGGCAGTCTTACCCATGATTGCGGTTTTGAGTAATGAACAAGGCTGGGAGTTTTTAAAAGCCTCAGGAATCTTTTGCAGGTGTTTAGAGTTACGTCGTTGATTCAGATGGTTAGGTTAATAGCTTGTTTAGAGAACTTTTCATGATATGCTAATTTTTTGGGACAGGCATTTTGGGTTTTCATGAGCTGTATGCCATAATCATCAATATTAAAACAATTAAAGACCTGAAATATTTCAGTTGGTGTGCAATGAATCTGAAATATATGAAAGTTTCATTTTTATCATTACATTATGGAAAATAATTACCTTTATCACAATATGCTAATTTTTTGAGAAGGACCTGTAGGTGCTATTTTCCATAAACATAACATACCCTTTAATTTCTACGCTGATTGTCAAATTTACTTCCCTCTGAAGAACAGTGGTGCACGTTCCATTCAACCTCTTCTTGACTGCCCGGCTGACATCGGACTGGATATCAAAAGTTCTTAAGTTTCAATGAGAAGACGACAGAAGTCATGTTGTTTCCTCCTAATGGCACGATCAAGAACCACAGTATTGACCTCTCCTCTCTAGCCCCGTTAGAGAAACAAAATGTCACAAATCTGGGAGTGATAATGGACCCTTCCATGAAACTTAACTGTCATGTAAACAGGATTTAACAATCCTGTTTTGTTTTGTTTTTTTCCAGCTGAGGCGACTGTCTAACCTGAAGCCCATAATGTCCAAAAAAAAAAAACCTTGAGACAGTAATATATGCGTTCATAACATCCAGGCTCGATTACTGCAATACACTTGTTTGGAATCAGTCAGACCATTGTACATTTACAACTGGTCCCAGATGCAGCAGCCCGATTTTTAACCAGTACATGCAAAAGAGAGCACATTACACCAGTTTTGGCCTCACTTCACTGGCTTCCTGTTCACTATCAAATTCATTTTAAAATCCTTCTGTATGTTTTTAAATCATTGAACAGTTCTGCCCCCTCTTATCTCGCTGATCTGCTGCAGCCATATGTCCCACCATGCTCTCTGAGGTCAGTGAATCAGATGCTTCTATTGGTTCCAGGAACCCGTCGTAAGCTCAGAGGTGACGGGGCTTTCTCTGTTGCAGGTCCAAGACTGTGGAATGAGTTACCACACGTCAGGCAGGCTCCTTCTCTCACCCACTTTTATTCCCTAGCTTTTGACACAGTGTGATTTGTTCTTAACCTGTCTGGATTCTACGTTAGCCATTCTTCCATTCGTATCTATATTTTTATTTTACTTTATTTTTTTGCTGTGTGCTTCGCTTGTTTGTTCTGCTGTACAGCACTTTGGTTGGCTTTGTTGCTGTTTTAAGTGCTCTATAAATAACAAGGTATGGTATGGTAACTCTGCCACTGAAAGCAGGAAAAGGGATATTTTGGTCATTTTGAAGAGGACAGGTGACGGCATGGCAATGTCCAAAAAACAGACTCACAAAGTCTTTTGGATAAAAGACGAAACGTTTGAACTTTTTTTTTTTTTTTTATCAATCCATCAAGAGAACCTGTTAGATTTTTCTACCTGGATTATTGACAAGGACATCTTACCTGATGTTCAAACCCACAAAGTTTGTCCAGGTGAATATGTAGTCTCCACCAAACACCATTCCAATGTATGTGACCAGGATATTCTGCAGAAATCAGGGAGAAAACTAACTGCACACAGCTGCTTCCATCAGTTACCAGCCTGTACAGAGCATTGCCAGTGCTAAATGACTTACCTTTATACACCCTATGATGGAGGTGGTAAGTGCTGAGTTACACTGTGTGCACAGCATGATGGAGTACATTAAAATAAAGCTGTAGGAATACATGGAAGAAGAAATGAACACAAAGCTTACATAATGTGTATTACATGACATCAGCAAAAGTTGGACATCTACTTTACCCCATAACACAGGAGAGAACAAACTGCACAACAAACAGGGGATCAGACCAGCCTTTATACTCCAGCCCCTGTTCACACACACACACACACACACACACACACACACACACACACACACACACACACACACACACACACACACACACACACACACACACACACACACACACACACACACACACACACACACACACACACAGTGGCACTCACTCCTACTGATGGACACTGAATCATGCAGACTGGTTTGTGTTCCCAATCATACCATCTGTAGGTCTCCTGAATAGTGAGCGTATGCCAGCGTAGGTAAAATCATGATCAGAGCATTGTAATACAGCAGTCCATATTTACCGAGCTCCTGCAGAAACAGCAGCAACAGAGTGTGACGATCAGTGTCATGTCACTGAGGCACAGTGATTTGGGACATGCTGCTTTACTCACTTTTGAGTCAAGTTTCTGCTTCACATAAGCACCGCTGGCTGCAGTCAGAACATTATTTAGCATTATGAATAAGTAGCCTTCAAAGTCAAAAGCTAAGTCGTCACTGAAAAAACAAAACATGTTAAAGAGTGAAAAATATTGCACACAGTCTGAGTTGATAGTCTGTGGAACTAGGGCTGTCACGATAACATTGTTTGAAATTTAACAATAATTTAATTGTCAAATTTTAGAAGAAATGTTGATTTGTTTGGAATGTAGTAACTTTTTTGACCACCTGATGGCAGTATAAGACTGTTTGAACCAAAGGATGGATAGTTGTGCAGCGTGTCTCTTTAAGAAAAATGGGAGGGAGGGCCCTTGACCTGACATGGGCCGACATGGTGATATGGCGGACACTAGGTGGTTTGAGCTCTTTAGCATAGCATTTTTCACACAAATCTTTTAATTTAAAAAATCAACAAGTTCTCAGCTTCTTTTTGCAGAGAAAACAACTTTTTACACAAAGGCACGGGTTTGAACCGTGAATTTTGGGCACGACAAGACGGAGGTTTATTCCCGAGGTCGGCCTGTTAGCTTAGCTCGTAGCTTAGCTGCTTTTAATGATCCAAAAACGCGATTTTGGATAGTTAGAACATATTTTAAAGAGAAACTAGAAAGGAAGGGGTCGGTGAAGAGCACCTGAGTTGAGCTGTGTCTTCAGTAGAAAAAGAGAGACATGAAGAAACGATGAAGCCGGTAAATAAAAAGGAGGTTGATCATTTTCATTCACTATGTGATTAATTGATTTATTGTTTATGTGGAACCATCTCACCTAGCAGCGATGAAAGCACCAAATATCATGGTAAACACTGTCATCTTAATGGAAGTGGAGAAGGTTTTTCTGTAAAAAATAAAATTAAAAAGTTACAACTTTCTTCTATAGGCAGCAATCTGAGTGAATGTGCAGAGAAATTGTGGAGGTGTAAATCTTAACATACTTGAGCAGGAGTCCCTCAAACACCATGGTGAGAAAAATACTGAACCTCCTGAGAACTGTAAACATTGGTAAACTGAGGTAGAAAGAACAGTCAGGTTTGGTGCTTTATACTCAGAATATAAAAGGGAGAACGGTCTCTCACTTGAGTCGTTGTGTCCCAAACAGCCCTGATATCTGATTCCCAACATACAACAGAGGCAGTGGGAACATCTAGAAGAGAATGCCACATGTAAAACACTTTGGATGTGGTCAGAAGATTCCATTCAGCCATGGTTAGTATGAACGCCATTCAATTTGGATTTTTATTGATTTATTTGAACTTTTCATTTTTCAGGGTGGAATGATCTTAGAACTTCAATATTTTTAAACATGAATTTTAGTGTGTATATATGCAGTTTGTGAAGAATATAAATTATACACTTCCTGTGGACCCACCACCTGCAGGAAGGGCCATAAAACTCGGGTGCATGATGCTATGGGCAGTGGCCGAAGGTGGGGACCTTGGTGCTCTGACCCTAGCTTACCAAAGCTAGCTCTTGGGACATGGAATGTAACCTCTCTGGCAGGGAAGGAGCCTGAGCTTGTGCGCGAAGTTGAGAGGTACTGACTACATATAGTTGGGCTCACCTCGACGCACAGCATGGGCTCTGGAACTGATCTCCTTGAGAGGGGTTGGACCTTATTCTACTCTGGAGTTGCCCAGGGTGAGAGGCGTCGAGCTGGTGTGGGTATATCAGGGTTGTAGCCCCCCGACTTGGTGCCTGTGTGTTGGAGTTTTCCCTGGTAGATGAGAGGGTGGCTTCCCTTCGCCTTCAGGTGGGGGGACGGGCTCTGACAGTTGTTTGTGCCTACGTGCTGAACTGTAGTTCAGAGTATCCGGCCTTCTTAGAGTCCTTGGCAGAGGTGCTGGAAGGTGCGCCAGCTGGGGACTCCTTTATTTTGCTGGGGGACTTCAATGCCCAAGTGGGTAATGACAGTGTGACCTGGAGGGGCATGATTGGGAGGAACGGCCTCTCTGATCTGAACCCGAGCGGTGTTCTGTTGTTGGACTTCTGTGCTAGTCATAGTTTGTCCATCACAAACAACATGTTCGAACATAAGGGTGTCCATAAGTGCACTTGGCACCAGGATGCCCTTGGTCGTAGATCGATGATCGACTTCATAGTCGTGTCATCTGATTTGCGGGCGTTTGTTTTGGACACTCGGGTAAAGAGAGGAGCTGAGCTGTCAACTGATCACTACCTGGTAGTGAGTTGGATCAGATGGTCGGGGAAGATGCCGGACAGACCCGGTAGACCCAAACATGTAGTGAGAGTTTGCTGGGAACATCTGGCAGAAGAAACTGACAGAGAGATCTTCAACTCACACCTCTGGGAGAGCTTTAAGCACATCCCAGCTGAGGTGGGGGACATTGAGTCTGAGTGGGCCATGTTCCGCACCTCGCTTGTTGAGGTAGCTGCCTTGAGCTGTGGCCGCAAGGTTGTCAGTGCTTCTCGCAGTGGTCATCCACCTCGGGTTATGGAGGCTGTCAAGCTAAAGAAGGAGTCCTATCGGGTCTTGTTGGCCAGTGGGACTCTAGAGGCAGCTGAGGAGTACCGGAGGGCCAAGCAGTGTGCAGCCTTGGCTGTTGCTGAAGCACAAGCTCGGATGTGGGAGGAGTTCAGTGAGACCTTGGATAGAGACTCTCGGTCGGCTCCGAGGAGATTCTGGCAAACCATCAGACGGCTGAGGAGGGGAAAGCAGCACTTTACTAACACTGTGTTCAGTGAAGGTGGGGTGTTGTTGACCTCAACTAGTGATGTTGTTGGGAGGTGGAAGGAATACTTCTCAGACATTCTCAATCCCACCAACACGTCTTCCATGAAGGAAGCCGAGTCGGGGGACTTTGGGGTTGATCCGTCCATAACCGTGGGTAAAGAGCTGATCCAGTGTTCCACGGCCAGGACGGAACCCACATTGATCTGAGGTTCGACCAACGATCCGACTCGCTTCTCCAGTACCCCCGAATAGACCTTACCAGGGAGTCTAAGGAGAGTGATGCCCCTATAATTGGAACACACCCTCTGGTCCCCCTTTTTGAAGAGGGGAACCACCACCCCAGTCCAGTGGCACTGCCCCTGATGTCCATGCGACGTTGCAAAGGCGTGTCAGCCAAGACAGCCCCAAAATATCCAGAGCCTTAAGGAAATCAGGGTGAATCTCATCCACTCCCGAAGCCTTGCCGCCTCGGAGCTTTTTAACTACTTTGGCGACCTCACCCTCACTAGGGTCCTTGAGGGGTCATGGGAGTTTGCCCATCCAGTCTACATGTGTTTGGTGGACTTTTGAGAAGGCATTCGACCGTGTTCCTCGGGGTACACTGTGGGGGGTGCTCCGCGAGTATGGGATTAGAGGCCCGTTGTTATGGGCTGTTCAGTTCCTATACAAGCGGTGCGAGAGTTTGGTTCGCATTGCTGGAAATAAATCGGACCCCTTCAGCGTGGTAGTTGGACTCATCCAGGGCTGCCCGTTGTCACGATTCTGTTCATAACTTATATGGACAGAATTTCTCGGTGCAGCCAGCTGGCGGAGGGTTTCCGGTTTGGTGGCCTCAGGATTCCATCTCTGCTCTTTGCAGATGATGCAATCCTGTTGGCATCATCGTGCTGTGATCTTCAGCTCTCACTGGAGCGGTTCACAGCCGAGTGTGAAACGGCTAGGATGAGAATCAGCACCTCCAAATCTGAGGCCATGGTCCTCAACCGGAAAAGGGTGGATTGCTCTCTTCAGGTCGAGGTTCTGCCTCAAGTGGAGGAGTTCAAGTATCTCGGGATTTTGTTCATGAGTGAGGGAAAAATGGAGCGTGAGATTTACAGATGGATTGGTGCAGCATCTGCAGTATTGCTGACTCTGTACCGGTCTGTTGTGGTGAAGAGAGAGCTGAGCTGTAAGGCAAAGCTCTGTTTACCCGTCGGTCTACGTTCCTACCCTCACCTATGGTCATGAGCTCTGGATAGTGACTGAAAGAATGAGATCGTGAATGCAGGCGGTTGAAATGAGTTTTCTCCGCATGGTAGCTGGACTCTCCCTTAGAGACAGGGTGAGAAGCTCAGTTATTCGGGAGAGACTCGGAGTAGAACCGCTACTCCTCCACGTCGAGAGGAGCCAGTTGAGGTAATTTGGGCATCTGGTAAGAATGGGCGCTTCCCTAGAGAGGTGCTTCGGGCATGTCCAACTGGGAGAAGACCCAAGACACACTGGAGAGACTATGTCTCTCGGTTGGCCTATAAACGCCTTAGAATCCTCCCAGAAGAGCTGGAAGAAGTGGCTGTGGAAAGAGATGTCTGGGCCTCCCTGCTCAAGCTGCTGCCCCCGTGACCCAACTTCGGAATAAGCAGAAGATAATGGATGGATGGATGGATAAATTATACATACAGACTCTAATCTAAGCAACCTCCTGCCCCCCAAAATGTGGTTAAATGTTGGCTAACAAGTTGCACCTTAACCACAAGTTGTTTGTCTCCAATGAGTTTCTGGTATCATGCGGGTTTGATATTTACATTTTTCTTGGCAAATTTAGTAGAGTTAATTTTAATTAATTAATTAATTTAATTAATTAATTTAATTAATTCCTTCCTTCCTTCATCCATCCATCCATCCATCTATCCATCCATATATGTTACAGTTTTACAATCTTCACTTTGGTAAATATCAAGACAGCAAGACCCTTCCGGGTGTTTATTGGAGCAACTGTTAGCTATCTGCGAAGCTAGTTCTAGACACTAGAGAAGGCATAATAATAATAAAGTTAATAATAATAACAATAATAGTAATATCCTGATGCATGCTCAATAATCCAGGTAGAAAAATCCAAAAAAGTTCAATCTGGTCCTCTGGACATTCAAAAAAACTCACTCACTCACATATTGCACAAATAAACTGCATGAACTGAAGGAGTCAGTGAATGCATCTTTTGAACAAAACATTTTAATGAACTGATTCTAGGGATTCAATACACTAAAAAAATGCCGTTCCCATCACTACTACAAAATCCTTGCAAAATTATTCATTTATGGCCTCAAAATTTAAGAAATTTCTAAACGTTTAAAATGTTTTGAATGAAAAAATAGTCTAAAGATAAATGTTTTGAAATTGTAGCAACTCAATTTTGTGAGGGAGTTCAATAGTATAGTCTGTATTTGTTGCTCTGATTATGACTGTGCACAATTAGTTGTTCATTTGGGGTCTGAAGTTGCTCGGTGGTCAGTGCTGTGGGCTTGTAATCCTGAGGTTGTGTGTTTGAGCCCAAGTTGCATCAGGAAGGGCATCTGGCGTAAAACAATTGCCAAATTCTTCATGCAAGTACACACTGTGACAATCCCGGAAGAAAGGAGCAAACAAAAGAAACTTACTTTCAATTAATTGTTCATATATTTGATAGAATAGTTGTGATATTCAGAACAATTGGGAGAAAAGGCACAGAAAATGTTGCAAAAACTTTTTTGCTCTGTTTATTATTTTGATGTTTGTTGTGACGAGTAACTGATTGGGATGACAATATCTTAAATGTGTTGCATGTGACTTGGGTTGTCATTTTTAAATACTGTTTTTTGCTAGTTCTACATTCAACCCTCCTCTTTTTTCTGGGCTTGGGACCGGTAAAAAAAAAAACAAGAAGGCACATTCTAGCAGAATTACTAAGTGTTTTTTTTTTTTTTTGCAATGTCAGGTAAAAGTGATTTTTATGACTGTGGGATACATTTGCAGTGGTGGTGGAGTGGAATGAGTCTCCTGTGTCTGCAGCTGGATCACTGTACCAGGCTGACAGACCACTGCCAGCACATGGATTCAACCACATTAAAACAGGGTCATGTCACTATCATGCCTGTTATGTTTTTTTGCTTTTTTGTTTGATTTTTGTGGGGGGAACCAGAGTACCTGGAAAAAAGCCAAGCATGCTATTCCACCCTTTCAATTTATTTACCTGCTGCTTCTTTTTCAGGTCACAGGGGTCACTGGTGCCCATATCCTGCTGTCACTGTGCTAGATACGAGGGACACCCTGGACAGGCTGCAAGTCCATCACAGAGACAAAAGAGACAGACAATCGTACACACTCACTGACACCTAGGGACTGGAGTATCCGGAGAAAAGCCAAGCATGCTATTTAAGGTTGCAAATGGTATGGCAACAAGGGCACCAACTTACTGTCTTGAAGTATTTTTTTTCCTCTCTTTTAAAATTTGCAAACATAATTTTTGATGGAACTTTTTCTACCTTAACAGGACTTTTTTTTTTTTTTAGTTTTCACTACTATTAGAAAATGATGTAAACACAAAAGTGCTTTCTGGCAGACTGTCAAGTCCTCTCTCAACGGAACAAATGACTTTGTTTTGAAAGGAAGAAATATCGATATTAGCTTCCATTAAAAGGTTTGCATACTTTCAGGGATGTCTTCAAAGTATTCATTAACTACATTGACTGTTTAAGACCAATCATCTACGAAACAGGGGATCCCTGACTACAAACGGTTGACTTTTCTCAGTAAAACTTTCAAAAGATGAATGTTTAGATTCTAAATCACATAGAGTCCCTTGAGGATGTTGACTCTTGTCGCTGAAATGAGAGAACCTGTGCATTAACTGCTAAATCACTAATTTTTCAACTGGAACTTGCTGTCTTATTCTTTTGGGAGCTTTTAAAGCATGGAAAGTGCTTTAACATAGACCCAACACTTAATTGTACCCCAGGCCCTTTAATAGCTGCTTGCTGTTCCACTGGGGTGTATCTCACATGGGGTGGGGTGAATGCAGAGAACAGTTTGTCATTGTATGAGCACATACAATCATGACAACACGTATCCCTTTCAGTTGTAAGGGCATTCGTATATTTGATGAGAGAATGTAAACTTCTGACTACAGCTAACAGTGGCTTAATGGCTGAAATTAAAAACGTTCCATTCTTCACCTTGTGTGGTATACTTAAATCCATGTCAGGGAAAGAGATAACACCCAACATCTTCCCAGTCCTCAGAACTATGATGGTGGCCAGCATCTGCAGTTATTAGAAAAACATGTGTGCAGCAAATCAAAACTCTGTTATGTTACTAGAAAGAACAGATGCACGATGTTAAGAAACACTTACCTGACCAATTCCAACACATGTGGACGATGGGAATCTGTAAAACATATTGTAGAAAGATTAATCAGAGATAGCTAGTTAGCCGTTCAGTTAAGTAACTCAAGTGAAACGTGTCATTTTAGTGAGTGATAAAATTCAGGTTTACCCAAATTCATAAAGTGACCCAAATTTACCAGCTCTTAGCAGCTTTAGATTGACTCCCTATTCATTTCCAAGATCTGTTTTAAAATGTACTGCTTCCTTTTAGGGTCATAATGATTTAGTTCCATCTTACCCAGGTGAACCTTCGCATCATTACACTTCAGCCAGAGTACCTACAAACCTTGGACCTAGCGAAGCTCAAACCCAGATGTAGCCCTTAATCTGTAGACTGACAGTCATCCTAAATCTCTCCTTAAAACCATCAGGATGGAATATAATATGCAGTAATTATAGACAAGATGAGAAGATAGAATCGGTCTCAGTGGTGTGTGGCAAGATGGCGCAGCGTGTACCGGCAGTCGTCTACCCACCTTGTCTAATTTGTGGCTTATTGCTGTATTGTTTTATATATTGTGCCAAGATATCTGTGGACTGTTGGTGTATAACCGACAGGCTCTTATTGATCTAAATTGACGCTTTGAGTCATCCCTAAACAAAAACTTTGAGGATCAAACATTCAGACTCCCTCCTTATCTAATCTCCGTGCCAGCTGACCTGTGGCGCTTTCCTGTTCATGGGCGAAAAAGTGAAAACGTGGAGGTGCTCTGGTGAGAGCCAGGGCCCACCGGAGATCAACTTCTGGGATTGTGCCCCAAGGAGCGCATGGATTGCGGTGGATCCAGCCTGTAGCACCCGTGTGCCTAGATGCCGGTTTGCGCCATCTGCCTCTGTGGGCCCTGCTGCACAAGTGCATAGGAGGATGCCACACTGTGGACTTTGGATGCCTCCAGCCATTGCGCCGCAGCTCCCAACCTGTCTGTGAGGATACCACTCTACACCTGGGCCTACTAAATGCTAGATTGCTAGCAAATAACACGTTTCTTTTAAATGATTTCTTCATGTCTCGCAAACTGGATTTTATGCTGCTTACGGAGATCTGGCTACAAGTTGGCGAGTCTACCCCTTTCTCAGAACTTCTACCTCCCAACTGCCTCGCTTCGAATGACGGGCATAGATGGGGGGTTAGCAACAGTATACAAATCTAGATACACCTGTCGACATGTACCGGCAGACTCTTTCTCCAGCTTTGAGCTATAGACTTTTCAGATTAACTCTGACAGCCCAGTCCTGCACGCTCTGGTGTACCTAAATTTAACAAATATTTCATTCATGATTTTACAGACTGTGACAAGTCTTTTCTGATTGTTGGGGACTTCAATATCCATGTCTGCTGTAAAACCAAACCACTGGCCAATGACTTTTTAAACATGATTGACTCTTAACCTGACTCAGTTGGTGTCGGGCGTGACACATGAAAAAGGACACATCCTGGACTTGGTGCCGTCCTTTGGTGTTAATGTAAACATGACTGAGATCTGTGAAACACATTTCTCTGACCACTTCGCTATCTTGTTCTCTGTCACGCTGTCCCAGAGTGTGATCAGTCCCTGTGCCTCGGCATACCGAGTACGCATGAAAAATTCCCAGACAGCGTCTTTATTCTCTGACATTTTTAGCGAAACGTATAATCCCGATTGGCAAAATTTTACTCCAGAATAGAGGTGGGCGATATGGCTCAAATATAATAGTGATATTTCAGAGCATTCTGACGATAATACATTTTGTGATACAACAAAAAATAAAAAAAAACAGAAATCTTAGTTATTCATTTGACAAAATTAACTTATCAATCAATCAATCAACCTTTATTTATACAGGTAAATCCCATTGAGCCTCGAGGACTCATTTACAAGAGAGACCTGATTTCAACAAAGAATGATGACAACAATGGACAACAGCAACAACAATAAGCAGTTATAAAAACTCATACTACAGTTTTTTTTATATTTTATATATATATATATATATATATTTTTTTTTTTTTTTTTTTTTTTTTTTTTAACAAATAGGATGGCTAAAAGGAAAAAGGTAACAAAAACAAAAAAAAACAGCTAGATTCCAAACTTAACATGTTGGGTTTGCAGTATTATATAAAAACTAAAAAAATCCAAGGGTTACTTTTACTGAAATTACTTTATTTAGTAAAGTATTCAGTCTCAAAGTATATAAAAAAAAAAAAAGATCCTTCTGTTATTTAGATTGAAATAGTCTGCACAAAATATAGATGAAAAAATCTACCACAAAACTAAAGTGCAGGTGCAGTTCCCAAAAATACTAAATAAAATGAATCTTAAAATATGTTGAGCATAAATGTAACATACAACAAAATATATGTTTCCTTTAAATGAGCTATAACTTCCAGAACTTGCAACAAGGTGATCAGCTGAGCCTGAAGCTCGTGGTGTTTCAGCTTCCTCTGTTCCTGCAGGAATGATCCATTTCTCTGATGCTCTGTCTTTCATCACCTGACTCAGTTCTTGGTCCACGGATTGTGGAACTAAAGAGACACAGCTGAGCTGCACGTGTTTGTACCGGCAGCCCAGAACGAGGCTGTGGGGAGAGAGAGACAGCTGAGCTGTGCACTGTCTGAACCCACAGTTTAGAGTTGGGTGGAGAGACGGAGCTGAGCCGCGCGTTGTTTTTTTTTTAGCTAGCTAGTATTACGCACAGCTAATTAGCGTTATTCATTCCTTCAACCTTTATTTAGACAGGTAATGTCAGGTTACGCCTTCCGTTTTTGTCTGCAGAGATACCCATTTGGGTAATTTGGTGCGCTCGATTGTGTTAAGAGGGCGGGGCACGTGCCGCCCCTTGTATAATTCTAGGGGAAACACTGACGTATTTACGTCATGAAATTAGCATATCAGGATATAATTTATTTTCCCAGGCAAGCTTTTTTTTAACTAGTATTATCGTGAACGATATTTATTTAGAATTTTATTTATTTCATTAAAAACAAAACTATATACACACACACACAATAGAAAACAAAAAATATATATACACAATCAAAAAATTAAATGAAAGGTAGCAGAAGAATAAATTATCTGCCCCTTTTTTCCCAGAATATATTCATACAAAAGTAATTTACAAAAAAATCAAAGCCCATTAAAAACAACATCAAACAAATTTGTATAGATACAGATACACATACTTTTCCATATTCCTTCAGAAAACTAACTTTTAACATTTTCTTGAATATGTACATAGATCTGGCAGTTTTAACATCATCCTTCAGCCCACTCCACAGTCCTATTCCCTGAATTATAGTAGACCACTTCTTCAAACTGGTACAATATGATATGGCTCAGCCCTACACCAATTCCTATTTTAATGAAACCTGTACGGAGGCTTTGGACTCAATAGCCTCACTTAGGCTGAAGCGATCAAAGCCAAAGACACAACCCTGGTTAAATGAACGCACATGCAAACTCAGCCACAAGTGCAGGCGTGCCGAGCGCCGGTGGAGGAAGGTTCATCTTTAGGTTTCTATGCAAATACTTAGAGACAGACTTGCTAATTATCAGAACTGTTAAAACTGCAAAATGTAGTTTCTTATCAATCCTCCAACTGCCACAAACTGCATGGACTTTTAACACATTAAAATCTCTTGTATGTCCCTGTGACAACAGCATTCCTCCTCTGTGTCTCCTCTGAAATATGGGGTGCCCCAGGGGTCGATATTACCAGTGGTAATTGCACCCCAAATCATGACTGACTGTGGATATTTCACACTGGACCTCAAGCAGTATGGTTCTGTTCCTCACCCTTCTTCCTCCTTGGACCTTGATTTCCAAATGAAAGGCACACTTTACTTTCATCGGAAAAGAGAACCGAGGAACCCGACAGTTGTAGTCCATCTCCCGGATGCTTCTGAATGTGGTGGTTTTTGAAGTTGTGACTCCCGCCTCATTCCACTCTTTCTGAATCTCTGCCAGATTCTGGAATCTTCTCTGTTTGATAATCCACTGAAGCCCACGGTCAACTCTTTAGCTGGTGCATCTTCTCCTGACACATTTTGCCCTTCCACTAGACTTTCCATTGATATGCTTGGACACAGCACTCTGTGAACAGCCAGCCTCCTCAGCTATGAACTTTGGTGGCTCACCCATCCTATAGAGGGTATCAATGATGGTCTTCTAGCCAGTTATTATGTCTGCAGTCTTCCCCATATTGAACCGAATTGAGACATCCATCCATCCATTATCCTTTACCCGCTTCTTCCATTTTGGGTCACGGGGGTCGCCGGTGCCCATGTCCAGCAATCACTGTGTGAGGGGTGGGGTACACACTGGACGGGTCACAACAAGTCCATCACAGGGCCCGAACTGAGACAACTGAACCAAACTGAAGCATTTTAATGACACCTGGGGAAACCTGTGCAGGTGCTTTGAGTTTAGTAGATGATTAGTGTCACAATCAGATTAAAACATTCATGTCCTGCAACATTTGGGCATTCTCATTCTAACATTCTCTACGGTGTTCTAATTTGTTGAAATCCTGTTTTTGTGGGTTTCATGAGCTGGAAGCCCAAATTATGTAAAAATAAACAAATAAATACTTGAAATTGTTTAAACTGTGGGCCCTGGATCTATCATCTATTAAAGATTAACTTTTTGAATGGAATTATGGAAGTTAAACAACTTTTTCATGATATTCTAATTTTTTGGAA